ATAGAAATAATTTAATGGTCAAGACTTCAAACATATTCAAATTTATCATTATGTTTGTCTGTTATCATTTATTTAGTAAAATACTTGAAATATTTCTAACTCAAAGTAATTTAATTTCCAAAGGAGGTTGTTTAATTTTACGAGATCTTCAACTAAAATCAATTAATAAAACTATTACAAGAATCGGTAAAACATGCCATACAATATTTTTTACGTAAAATTTATAATACTCTATATGATTTAAACTGTTATAAATTTTAGTTTTTAACTATATATTTTTTCATAGTTTTAAAATATGGGTAGTTCAATACTTTAATTAAAATATTTACTTTATTAATATATTGGGAAAGAGAATGGTTTCACTATTAACTATTTATTCAATATGATCAATATTATATAGTTTTAATTTGTGTTAGAGGGACATATAAACTATGAACAATGAAGTTAAGCAACCGATAAATATTGAAAAATGATGACATAAATGCTCATATTGCATACATTTCAATACTTGATACCAGGTATAAGATAGCTATAGTACATTAACCGTTCTTATACAGTCCATAAAATACGGATTTTGTATCGCAATATAGATTATTTTGAAACTACACTTCTCTAATTTTTATAGGTGACTAATTCAGGTTTTTTCATAACTGTTAATTGTAGCTACTAATCAGCAGACATGTCTTTCTTTGTCCACTACGACAGAACGATATGAATAATTTGATTGATGAATGCGTAAAATAGCACACCTATGGTGTAGGATAATTACATTGTTTTTAAACACGGCTATCAGACCGACCACCTAAGATGAATGATTGAATGACAGAATACGAATATATCTACAGCCTACAAATATAGATTCAAAAATTAATACTTGATAAAAGCACAATCGATACGATATTTCATATTCTAATATTATAATTATGTGATAATCTTAAAAAATAGTAATTAAATAAAATTATTGGTCTAACAACAATTTATTCCTTGTGGGCAAGTTAATAACAAAAATAAAATAGCCTTTTTGAATTACCAAAATTTTATCCAAAAATTAAAAAATCCAGATAGAATATACTGCTATTAATTATAAATCTCTATTATTTTTATTTTTAAATATTTATGGAAAGCAACAAAATCATAGAATTCGAAAAAATAATTTTCAGCAAATTAATTTACATAATTATATTTATATTAAATACAATGATATTTTAGTATTAAATTTTTCTTTAAATATTTAAAAAAGTTCTACCTAAATAATTCATTTCGTGTTTTAATAAAAACTACAAAAGTGAATAAAACGTTAGTTATTTACGTGAATATATGTGTTAATTTAAGTATATACCTGTATTAAATATGTTTAGTTAAAAATTGGTTATTTTTTCGACAACTATTTACGATTTTTTTTCTAAGATCTTGTTGGTTAGTAAATCTGCATCAACATTTCAGAATAATAACATAATAAGATGGGTATAATAATCCTCTTGATCGTATGGCTAGAGTATATAATGGTATACCAGACTTTGATTTGTTCAATATTAATAATTTGTATCCTTAAGCCTTTTTTTTTATTTTTTATTTTTATATACAATGTTTAATATTCTTTATTTTTATAATTCTAATTTTAGTATATATATATTATATTTATACTTATATTTAATATAAAGTTCCATTAATTATGTACGCATTTTTCCGTTGTATTAGATAATAATATCCTATGTATTGTGTAAATTAGATAAGTTGTACTATTTTGCTGTACTTGAGTCTTACGGACGTTTATTCAAATAAATAAGATAAATAAATAAAATGTAAAATAACTAAGCTAAAATTAAATCGATTTTTAGAATAACAGAAAAGAAATTATATATAATTAAATAACGGTAAATATTGATTTCAGATATTTAAAAATGTACGTGAATTCCGCATTTATTTATTTTTAACAATAGCTCGCTGAATTATCCAGGAAAGCGAACACGTGGTTTCACATCATAATCATCGATTATCTGTACCTGACGTTTACTTAAAATTATTTTTCAGATATGATGGTATATTATCGCTTTCATATTTAGTTAAATATATATATGTATTGTTAATGTTTTTAAAGACTTCTACTTAGTATCAGTATTTGTATGTTCAAATTAATGATTTTATCACTTTTCCTTGTTGTACTATATCTAACATAAAATTAAAATATTCTTTAAATAAAAAAAACTAAAAAATTTATGATATATAATAGTCATTGTGAACCTAACGTTAATTATTTTAATATTTTGCATGAAAGCTCAAACATTTTTAATAAATTTATACAAATATTGTACATATTGTATTAAACTCTTACTAACTATTATATATAAAGTATTACGTGTTTAATTTTTATAGATAACTTTAATCTAACTATAACTAACTTAACTATAGTTTAAAAGAATTGGCGATTAATACTTCTTTAGGTATAAATCAATTTAATATAATATTTAAATATAAATCTAAAACAAAATAATTCTAGGATAAAAATACTTTTTTGGTTAGACTTATTAATACAACTATTTTATGGATAACGTTTTAGTATAATATTTTTTTTTACAGTATAATATTACACAATAATTATTTTAAACTTTTAAGCTTCATGTTAGGCTTCAATAGACTTCATGTATGTATGTTAAAGGTTTCATTAAAATTATGACGATATCATTTACCAATAATAATTACTATATAAATTGTTTACATAAGTCATTAAAGTATCTAAGTTCTATATGTATATAAATATAACAGTTAATAAAAAAAATTAATTCACTTTATGTTTTCTAAAAAAAGTATTGTGACAGTAAACTCTAAGTTAAAAAAATTATTAATTAATAATTATTAATATCTTATAAGTATTAGGAAAAAAATATTTTACTGTGATCAATTACTCATTAAACAATCTTTAAATTTTTAATAGTTATTAATCCATTAGAACGATTATATTCTAAAATAATAACAGTTAGGAGATATAACTATGTTTATATTTTTCCATAATGGTTCGTGATTTACTGAGGTTAACAGATGACATTAAAATCTCGAGAAAGCGGACTCTATGTTTTCGCAATGTGTTTATTTATTTTTCCAGAAGCAAGACTTATTCGGTCATTCAATCGACCTTCAGATGCGTTGATCCGGAAAGCGATATTACCTTGATGTTATAAGTACGCCTCGTATTATGTCATTAAAAGACATACAAAGACATTAGAAATCTGCAGGGTACTTAAATGTTCAACAGAGTACTTTTTAAGTTAAGCTTCTGGAAATTGCCAAATATTCATTAATAAATATTATTAGAACTAATTAATTAATTTCTACTAAACTTATAGTTATACTTTAACGAAATTGATGACGGAACGATTACATTTTAATTAATCTCCAATGCACATGCATAATTCATTTTTTAAAAAAATAAGAAATTTTCAATTTAAATCAATTGTATACGAACATAATGATAAAAAATAAATGAGAAAAAACAAAACAATAGAAAAAATATAGGGTTTAAAAGTACTAATACTGTTGAACAAACCCGAAACAAGATCAAGCTTTTTTTCTCATTTTTAGAATAATTGTTATAAAACTTAATATTTATTAATGAGACCTCAAACTTACATTGATAATTAAAAAAAGTATTATTATGGTTTGACTGTTTAAGAGACCAATTTTTAATATTATTAGCAATTATATTAATTTAAACAAACCGTTTTAATATTTATAGTCATAAATATTTTATTTTATATTTGAATTATTCATTTTATTCAACATATAATGTTTTTTTGCTATTAAATAAAATAAAAATCTATGTTATAAGATGTTAAAAATGTCCAAAAATAACATGATAGAATTGTTGAAAGAGTTACCATAAACGACACTTAAGACTTAACATACAATAATGAATAACTATTATAACGAAACTCTCAAAACAGAACACAGTATTTTATATTTTCTTTTAACTTAACTATTTATTATATAACTATAATTATTAAGTAAATAATAATATAAATAACAATATACTCAGCAGGAACATTAAGCTTCACAATAATTCGTTCAATTTATTATTAACAAAATATCTTAGTAGTTATATTTAATATAAACACAAAATACTGTCACACATTTCAATACGTTTTTTTTAGTATTATAAAATAAATTATATAAGTGATTGCGTCTGTGGTGTGTCGTATTTTATTTTAAACCAAATAAATGAAAATTTCTTTTATGATTCAATCAAAAAATAACCGTGTATCATATGACATTAAATTTTGATTTAAACTACTAATTATTTGGTATATATCAATTATTCATATTATATATATATATATATATATTGACCCTGTAGTATTGAGGCACTTATGTTTTCATAAATAATTTTAATTTAATATATGAAATACAGCTTAGTTAATTGTTTTTGAGTTTTTGTGTAATGCTATACTTAAAATTATTATATGTCTTATAATTGTTCGTTTTATTTTAACAATAGTGATCAATCTATTCATTCAGTTCCGACTACGATTGGAAATCTATTCATTCAGTTCCGACTACGATTGGAATACGTGTAAGATGTTTCATTTTGAATGCCTTAAGCAATTAGATTTAAACATTTTAAAGGGGTTAAGTGTCCTACATATCTCGATAAGATTAAAGTCCATTATATTCATATTTAATATCGGTTACCTATCTATAACATTTCCCCTTATACATTGTATTGAAAGAATACGAAATATATCGTTCACGTGATTTAACAACCTTGATGGCACATGGTTCTGACCCGTCAACAGAGCATTCAACCGATCGAGTGCTAAGAATCGGGTGCTAAGAGTACATCAGAACGGGTCATCGTTTTTGCATAGTTTCTTACTCCTTCGTCTCATTGTTGGTCGGGTACTAAGTTATGGTAGGAGCAAGGACATAACAACGAGTTGAGAAGGAGAACTATATATTAGTGTCGGCGGGAAATAACGGCATGAATAGTCGCATGGAGGTGATTGGACATTTATTTTGAAATTTACTATTTTTGTCACTTTTTGTTTTCACATGTGCTTCTGTTTTGTGTGATAGATGGTTATTTAATTAAAAAATATCATTATAAATAATAACCAAGTTCTTTTAAGATGTTATAAATTCTTGAAGTTTTTTTTTATTATTTCTAGTAGAAGCGTAAAGAGATGAGGGACCCAAAGGTTAGTATAATTTATTAATCAGCTATACTAGTAAATGCTAAAATATGAAAAAATGTACAAAGTAAAACATACATTTTAATATAAAAAAAGAATAACCATTAAACGAACTAAATATAAATATTTTGTGGATACTAATTTAGTAATAAATATAAGTTATATTGAATTATACTCTTAATTAAAATAAGAACGATTTATTCCTCTAATATTTAGAGCTTGATACTATAATATATTTATTCATTAAACTTTTTGTTATACCATAATAGTAATCAAGTTATTATAAGTACTATAATTACTCGTTAGTTTTTTTTTTGTGTAAGTGTATACAATTATAAGCTTATTTTGATCAATTGATAAAAAAAATTACGACTTCACAAAAATTATTCTAAATTCTGACAAACCTATACATATAATTAATCCAAAATCAATAAGTATAATCCGTATAATGAGAATCCAACTATCTAAAATTAAAACAATAAAATATTCACTATTACCTATACCAAATAAAATGGAAACATGTGTATGTAAATTGTGAATGAATTTCCTTAAACATTAATTATATACTGTAAATCATGAGAGTTTCTTTAAACTTACATGATTTACAGTATATCATATAACATAAGTAATGAATCCTGTTATAATGGGTAACAAATCAATTTTAAGGGTAACTGTAACTAAATATTTATCATTTACATTTAGATAGTATTGCACATTAAATAACCTTACATACTACGTACCTAATGATTGTTTTAGGACCACATTTGTTGATGTATTAATTCGATACACTAGAGTTTGTGAAATACTTCAAATAATAAAGTAGATTTGTATGTTGCCTAATAAGTGGGTTAATTAAATTTTTACTAATTTAATGATTCGTCTAATTCTAATTCGTCCAATCTAATACTTTAAATGTATTAATTGATGACTAAATATGTTTAAAACTAATATATTTCATAAACATTTAAGATACCTAATTTAGAAATGTTTTTCAATAGGTATAAAAAAAAAAAATAGAACCTACCTTAAAAAATATATTCAATTTTCTTCAAATATTCAAAACATAACTATGTTACACTGTTCCAAAGTTTTAAAAAAAAAATATATTTCACAAAATAAGTTCAATTTAAATAAACAAGTTTTAAAAATTTATCCATCACAATGAAATTTTTAAAATCTGCCGATTATAACATTTAGGTCGTTTACGATTTTATTATGTTGAAAGAAAATAACGTAAAGTATGATCACATGAATTTATTTCTTGATTAATTAAATATTTACTATATAGTAATGAACTTTTAAGAAAAATATTTCAATTAAAATTACAAAATATACAAAATATATTGTTCAATAAACGTAAAATTATAATTTAAAATGATTACAGAATTTATATTAATAGTTAAGGTATAAACTATTTTTATATTTTTATTGAAGTTGCTGAACTTTTTATTTTAAGAATAAATTAAATGAGGGATTGAGTTAATTTATTAAAAAATTATATAATCATTTAGACATAATATCAAGAGAAAATATATTTATAAGTTTAAGTGTGCATAATATTTCATATATCTTTTTATATTTAAGTTACAAGTACTTAAATACAAGTTGGCACCTGTACAATAATTTATAATTTTTTTTATTGTTCTAAAATAAAAATTGGTAAACCAAATTAATAATAATTTTTATTCAAAATATTAAGTTAAGTTTTTAGTATTTTAGTTTCGGTTCTGTTTGTTTAAAATATTACACTCGGTTAACTGTAGACATGTGATGACTATATGTGTAACTATTATATTACACAACTGAAATTACTATAGGTTTCTGAACTTAACCAAAATTAAACATTAGTGGCTTTGAGAATTCATGGTTTAAATTTATGGAAAACAAGGTTATTTATAATATTCAGAGTTATTAGATCAGATATGGTTTTAAAATATATAGATGATTTAAATTTTAAAACAAACTTAGCGGAACTGTTATTAATCTATAATTGACCATCATTGACCTTAACTATAACTATTATCTAAATATTTCTTTTTGATTTCCATGAACGTAAAAATGGTACGGGTTGATTAAATTATTGTTATAAATAAAAAAATTAAATCAAATATTTTCAATTTACTCCACATATTATTAAACGCATAATATTAATTGGATTATCGGCAACAACTATTTTGCAATATTTTTTGTACGCACGAGTTTTATTAATTAAATATGTACTAAGTAAATAATTTATTGGCTAATTATTTATTTCAGATATTATTGTTTATTTTTGGACTATTTGTACAAACATGTTTATCAGAAAAAGTAGAAACCCCTAAACATGGCCATAATACTGATGGAAAAGATAAGAAGGTGTCAAAAAGAGATTATTATGCACCAGAATATAACCACGATAAACATAATGTAAGTGTGAACAAAAAAAATTAACTATTGATCATAATTTAATGTTTTTTTTTAATTTTATTGATAGTTTATTAAAAGTTCGCTGTATCAAAAAGTAATCATTAAAAAAAATAATTGCACTTTTCATTTTTATTTTTTATTTTTTTATTGAATCATGAATTCAAGCTTTACCAATTATAGTATTCCGATAATTACCTACCAATGTAAGTAAATCATTTTTTTTAACCTTCGTTAATTTAAAAAAAAAAAAAACTAAGAAAAAAAATGAAATTAAAGATTTTTTATTAAAATGTTTGATTTAACTTATAAATTACTGACATTTAAAAGGTCAATTCATTTAACTGATTTATAATTAAAACCTCTTCACTTGTAAGAAAAATATAGTTACAAAGAAATTGGCTTTTGACATTCTTGAGTTTTTATCAATTATCATATTATAAATAAGTCCCAAATCAATTTTTTTTTTTTTTAAAGAAAGAAATCATTGATATTGTTTAAATTTTGATAAAGTAAATAATTTACTAGTTCTCAAATCGATAATTTAGTTGATATTAAATTTGTACAACAATTGTTTTCATAATATATAATAAATCATAATAAAACAGCAGAAAATACAAATTGAGACCAATTAAAATAAATTATCCAATGAGAACAAGAAAACCGAATATTTGTAACGATCCTAGAGGAGAGTGAGAAATATTTTTAATCTTATGTAGTTACGAATGTGTAATAATAAAAAAAAAAAAAAAAAATGCTTTATTATAAATCCTACATAAAAATCTAAACTACATCATATATCTTATTTTTCATTATTACTGGACCGTTGTATATGTCAGAAAAGCCTTTACTCAAGGTCGGATTAAGGAGGGGTCTATCCTGGGCGATAACCCCGAGGCCCTCTCTAGTACCCAAGTGAAAGGAGCACAATTTTAAGCCGATACAAATTTTTTATCATAATAAAATTAGTAGTTTTATGTACATAAATTGTATATACCTATTAATTTTATAATTTTATAACGCGATTGATAATTTTTGAATTAGTTAAGAAAATGTATCTTTCTGCGAGCGTAGTGAGCAACTTTGTATAGCATTTTTAGGAGCTTAATCCGGTATTGCCTTTACTGCGATAATAATAACTGTAATATCGCCAGCTTTTTATCGTTAAACATGCGCAATGAACTTTTTCACGTGGTAAATTAGACTATACGTATAAAACACCGTTGAGTTTCATGAAAAAATTCCGAAATAAAATAATACGTGGAGTATTCAAATCAATGGGTAAATCGAAACTATCGGGTACATAACGGAACCACCAAATAGTTTATGAGACGCCTAAAAAAAAAACATTAAGGCATTTCGTCAAATTGACGATTGAAAGCGGTAGAAAGCTAATAAATCGAATGTAAACATTTCTTACTTATTACAATGATTAGTATTCATATTAACCACTTGTATGGTCCGTGGCAACCGATACCTAACAAAAATCCGGATCGATTAACTGTGATGGACGTCATGACAGTATTAGTAATTTAATTTCACGTGAATAAAAATATCTGAAAAAAAAAAAATTAAATATGGATAAAATCTTTCGGAAAGAAAAATTCAATTATTCGAAGCGAACTTGTAGTGGTAGTTGAAAGAGCGTGAAATCAGTGCTGTTTCAACATTTTGCAAAGACCGCTGTATAATTTTCGCGTATCGAAAAAATAATCGTCAAGTTGAACCATTAATGTATCATTACCGTACCTGTATAGGTATTATTAAAATTTTAAACAATTTACTTGACTACCGTCCGAACTCGTGGGCGTATTGTAAAAAGTAAAACGGAATCGATATGTGTGTACGTACAATAATACCGTACGTTAAATTATATTGTTAACGTTTAGCTATAAATCTTTTGTTGCCCTACGAACGTGTGTATCCGTTTACTTATTATTTATTATTAATTCCTAAGCGCGTTTTATCGCGTGCGTACGGGTGTCGCTTATACATTAACGGTTATGGTTATCACCAAATAAATAAATAATTATAACCCGTTTAAGCCCCTCTAGACGTTGTAGCGCGTAATCCGGCGTATAATACGATAATAATATTCAAACGGACGTGTAATGTTGTAGCGTACGTTCGTATAGGCATCCGTCGTACCACAATAACCGTTGCGCGCGGATAAATATGTATTGCACCAATAGCACGTAAAATATTTTCATACGAAAAACCGTTTGTAACAACGTTGAATTATTACCAACGGTCGTTTTTTTCGATACATTAATATGCGTTATTCAGTTACACACATTTTGTAACACACAATCGTAATATGGAATTCTGCAAAATCTATGGATTGCATAGTTTGTTAAAACGTTTTCGGTCGTTCTACGACGTCGTTATGGTCGATCCGTCCGTTTAACCGTGCTTTCAAAATAAAATTATAGCTTTCTATAAACACATACTTCTACCGAAGCTGTTTGTGTAAAATCGTTGTTGGGAATGACAATAACTCCGTTTATCTGAAGGTACATTGGCGATTCGTTAAACACAAAATATATCGACGCTTAAAAATGTTGATCGATCCTATAACACTGATGTGCAATAACTCAATCGAACAGCGGTATTAAGTGTTTACCCAGTGTACTCCAGGGCTTAGACTTTTGAAGAGCAAAGTTGTAGAAAAATTCTTACGTAGGAGTTATAAAACTAATATCGTGACGTGTGCCTACACTCGAAACGTACCGCAGTAAAACAACGTCCTGTAGCTGTTGGTTGTGCGTGTGTGTATGTTTGTATGAAAGATAAAAAGATAATACGAATAACAACAATGCGTTTGCAGCACAATAAACCATACACGTCTACATACGCGCGCGCATGGGTATATTAATAATAATGCATAATAATATTAGCCATTAGGACATGAGGTTATTGAATTAGCGCGCGTTCCACTTGACGCGATTTGCTCAGTCACACCGTCGTCACATTTCGTACGTTCTAATTTGCCGTAGACACGCAAATACAATTGTTGTATATAAATTATTGTTGTCCGTTTTTATTTACCGAGTGATCGATTTAAAGTGCCGCACGCTAATTTTTTCAATCAATTATTGATTACGTTTTCGTTGTTTTTTTTTTTTTGGCGCACACACGCCATACATTTTATAATTTTTCCTGTATTACATTTTCGGAACGAGTAGGTACCCGTAGCTCTCGCTGTAGACGTTTAATATCGGTCGTCGCGAGTGTGTGATTTATGAAATCAGTAGCCCGCAACAAAGAACGTGACACTTTTTTTTTTAATTAAAAATCATAATTCTATACATAGTTCTATATATAGTTATTATTACATCGAAATATATGGGGGAAAAAAAACATTAAAATCCCCCGTTAAAATCTATTGAAAAAATTAACTAGTATACGTCACACCCTGTGTGGAGCACGCATAGGCGTCGGGTACCGGCGTGGGGGCATAGGGGTATCTGGTGTGCCCGGGAACCCCGCGAAATGTTGCAGATGGGGCCCTGAAATTGACGTCTAAGGGTAACGGGCCCATTATTTTACTGGTGTCGCTAAAACTAAACGTACCACGATATAAAATAAAAGAATTAAAGTTACGTTTATTCGATTATCTGTACGTTATATTTGAATCGAATATGCCTACACATTTTGTCGAAACAGGGCCCATAAGTATAGTCGGCTCCCCCCCCCTCCCCGGAATTCAGGTCTGCGCACGCCTGCGGGTGCGCGTAGTACGTTATAATCCGGGAAAGCGACGGAATTCCGATGAGCAACGCGTCCGGTGTTCCGCACGTTTGTGCGATTATGTGTACTTCTACTACTATATTTTGTATTGTCCGCACAGTCGTATCCGGCTTATCGGTTCGAGTACGGCGTCCACGACCCGCAAACGGGCGACATAAAGAAGCAGTACGAGGAGCGCGACGGCGACACGGTCCGGGGCTACTACAGTCTGATGGAGCCGGACGGTTCGATCCGGTTGGTCGAGTATACGGCCGACTCGAAAAACGGTTTCCAGGCGACCGTCAAGAAGATGGGCCATTCGCACCACCCGAACTCGGTGACGTATCACATGAACGCCGCGGCCGGCCTGCACCACCAACAAGGCGACGGCGGCGGCAGCTACGCGCCCAACTACCACGGCGGCGACCACTACGATCATCAACAGCTGACGTTCGCGCCCGTCTACGGCAACGATAACGGTCATCATTATCAGCAGCAGCCGGCCGGCGACCACTACGGACCGCCGCCGCAGCCCACGTACGACGGCCACTACGAACCGCCGCACAACTTCGACAATCACTATTACCTGCAGCAGCAGAACCAGCACCAGCAGCAGCCACCGCCGCCGTCCGCTTACGACCACTACGAACCGCCGCTGGTGCCCGCGCACAACCATTACCAGCAACCGCCGCCGTCCGGTCACAGCGACCACTACGAGCGTCCCGCGGTGCCGGCGGTGCAGGAGCCGCACTACCAACCGGTAGCGGCCGGTCCGGAGACCGTGGACTTCGAACCCGGTCCGCAACCGCTGTTCGCCGGCGGACTGCCCACCGCGCACGGCGACTACGGCAGCGCGTCGCCGGAACAATACTACCCCTCGCAGCTGCAGTTCCCGGCCGCGTCGCGGGAGAACGTCTTCGACGAGTGGACGGCGCTCGGGGACGACGATCACCTGCGCTCGCATCGCGTCGACCTGGACGGTTTTCAGTTCCCGGCCGCTGTCCCGGCCCGAGGCGTGTCCGCCGAACGGCCCGAGTACCTGAGGAAGTATTTTGAACCTGATTACCGAGGAAACGCGGCCGCCCACGGTTCCTACGAGGACGACGGTGATCAGTCCAAGTAGTGTCTGTAAGCGCGCGCGTGTCCGATCTCGAGTCGACGAGTGGTTGAATAAAAAAAAAAAAAAATAATAATAATTTAAAAAAAAAATAACATTTCATACCGTACGCATGCATACACGTATACACGCACCGTTTGTCAAACGCGGCGCGTCCGTTCCGTTCGATCCGAGAAAAAATCGGTCGAACGCCGTCGGACGCGACTAGAACTCAAATATTGGGGGTGCTGAAATTGTTGAAAATAAAATAATACGGTATTTAACTGCAATTACTATTGATTATATAGATCTGAAATAAAAACAGGAGTGCCACATTTGAACTCAGAGGTGCTAAAAACCCTATTGCGCCCCCCCCCTAGTTGCGCCTATGTGGGTGACGGTACTCTGGCGTTCGTTTTCGATTAACGTTTTTTCTAGTTCGATCTCCTCCGATCTGTTCACCGCGCTTCACGAATACCGTAAAGTTCTTCGGAAATTCGATCGGTTGTCCCAAACCCGCGTATAAACCTCGTTTTTTTTTAATTTTTTTTTTTTTTTTTTATAGATGTTTCGCGTATATCCGTACATACGTAGCCATTCGGTTGTTTTCATTAAAGTTAGATTAGACTCGACCGCGGGTCGATGCGTACAACTAGTTAAAAGTTATCCGCACTAAATCGTGTAGTACACGACCTCGAACGATGCGATTTTGCCGCAACGATTATTTAAGATAATTAGAAGTCGGTTTCCGTTAAGAGATGCGAAAAAATAACCGTTGTGGTTTCGCGGTTGTTACGATACTGTGTAACGTGTGTATACGTAAAGTTTTCAATCGTCTCTATACTTTTATTACTCCAGTAAAACAGTGACAAAATTATCAGACTTGTTACAGATCAATACCTTTCGTTTTCTATTATTGGTTTCTGTACAATAAATATTATTACATACGACGACGTTTTTTTTTTTTTGCAATAAATTCATTCTTGTTTAATACAATTTTTTTCACATATACTCTTATAATATTATTATTAACACTACGGTTTCGTACTATAATATATCATAGTATGTACATTGGTATGGTTCTGTTGTACTATTGTTCTTACGATATTGTTTTTAATTTTATTATTTAAATAATATATGTTTTAGATTTCGAATACATATATAATATATTATTATGTACATATAAATGTTTACTAAAATACTTTTAGGTTTGTTACAGGATAATTGTGATTTTTTTTTTTTATTATTTTTACTGTTTTATTTTAAATACATATAATGGATATTATGTAATAAGTTTTGTTTTGTATGCACAATATTTAATACCTATTTCAACCCTATTCTTTCAGCCAGATTTTATTTTGTGGCTTCCAGATGCAATATAAAATCCTCATCGGTCACCGAGCTCATTTTCTTAAGAGTTTTTAAAATTCAGATGCAATTTAAATTTTTAAATATTATAAAATGGTAATAATAATAAATTATAATATGTAACTTTATGTTACTCACATGCATACTACCATTTAGGTCGAACACTTAAATTCGATACGAATTTAAACTTTTCCATTATTGTCTATAACATTCTTATCTATACATATTATTATAATATTATTTTATATCTTATATTATTATTATCTTTAAATATTTTATAATAATATTATTATTATTTCATAATAATGATTTAATCAATTAGGAATTAAATGCGTGGAATAAAAATAAAATTAGGGATATTTTCATAATATGAAGTATATACGTATGTATGAATAATATATTTTACGTGTACCATATAGTATTTATTATGCTGTGGTCTGCTAAAATTATAAATTTTTAAAATTGACTCTCCAGTAACTTTAAATCACCAACCCTCGTATTATTGAAGTCCTTATAATTAGTTCATCATAGTTCACGCAAATCACCGTGGTCAATGTTTTTAATAGTTGATAGTTTGTATTATGTGTACCCAAAGAATTACTAAAGCCATAGATAAAATCTATATACTTGAGTAATATCTTAAAAATCATTTGCGTATAATCTAGTAACTTGTAACTATAATACTATGATCTATAGCCGAAATATTTCTAAAAGTTCATCTACCTTCCCTATAGGTGTTTCGTTTTTAACAAGGTCACCCCCAACCATGTTATACCTCTAATCACATTAAATATTTTACTGTGCCGTTCCCAATATGACAATAATTACTGCTGTTACTTCTTAATAGTGTCGTCGGAATTCCTAATGTAATAATACTATGTCCAATTTCAATTATTATGATGATTTGTTTGTGGGATTATATATTTTTACGGACACAATAAACGTAATCAACAGTATTATTTTATTCGCAGCATGGTGTTAAAAGAAAAATTTAATTATGTTAATTTATTCGTCAATAGAATAAATTTAACTATTGAACAGTTGAATACATCAGCAGATCTATTTTCATATTAAGTGCAAATAAGATATTGAAAAACTTAATTTCATACTATGCTTTATGTGTTTCTAGAACTCATAATAAAGTTCCGTCATCAATTTAAATAACGCATCATTATACTCGGTAATATTATTCCATAATCAAACTTATCTCCAAACAATTTCCTATACTCCCATATACACGATACTTAGATCCAATAGCGGCGCCAGAATATTTTACTAGGTAAAACCAATATGGTCCTCCACCCGGCTATCAGCTTAAATGCGTAAAAAAAAAAAAATTAAAAAAGGTAGGACCATTAGAAGAGCAACAATTATGGCCTTGCAAAAATAAGATTACATTTATTAATTATAAATACAAACAATATATGACACGAATTTAGGTTGTGGGTGGTATCATCATACACTGTATAATATTACAGTACCTAGTAATCTCTATTATTTTTAATTACATATTTTCGAGTTTCTACGATTATTCTGCTTATAAAATTACCATGTTACCAATTAAATTACTAATTAAACTACTGAACCGATCGTTATGATTTTTTTTTTAAATAGAAGAGCTCATTTCGGAGAAGATTTATGGAATTTGATCGATTCTCTAAATTAATAAACAAAGGAGTTATCAATTATTATAAATAATGGCCTATTACTTAGACTTGGTAACATGGCAAGCATTCTGGGTTTCCACAATCACTACAATTCGATCCTCCCTGACCCTCCAGTCATAGGCGTGTACAGACTCTAAAAGCCGGTAGTGCCTATATATTATCATCAGCCCTTTAGTCAACCATTTTATAAATACAACACATCTAAATTATATATACCTATTTAATATCAACACACATCCTATATTATCTTACATAGTTTATAATATAATAATAGTAATAATAATAATAATAATTATAAATTATAATATAATATAGTTTAAAGTTTTTTTTTTCAATACTTTATATCATACAGGTACAAGTTAATTAAAATAAAGGATAACGAATATAATAATTATGAATGACATAAATAGAAGTTATTTAAGTATTTTATGTACTTAGAGAGACATTTGTCTATTACCCATACTATTGAACTCATCTATTACTGCATTTAAATCTACCTTTGATATCATTTCTTGTTCCGTAAAAAGTAGTAATAATGACTCCAAACGTTCTTGACCCATTGTACTGCGTAATTTGTTTTTTACAACAGTTAATTTTGAAAAAACGCATTCACATGTACAACTGGTTACAGGTATGATTGTAAACATTTTTAAAGTTTTAAAAACACAAGTATATACAGTGGAATTTCCAGAAGTTTTCAACCAATCAATCCATTCATAAACAGATTCAATAGTAGCACCATTTAGTTGCATAGCATTTTGATAATTTTTCATAAGTTTCAGTTCAGTAATTAAATCTTGCGTCAATCCACAGTACGTGTACCCGAGTAAATAAAAATAACATATTAATATGATGTACACCACTAAACGGGTAGATTACTCGCTGATTGAGATACATGAGTTTAGAATTATTATGTCATTATAAATGGAAAACCCTACGTAAGTTCTTATATTTATTTTTTAAATTTATTGAAATGTTAACATGTATACCATATTGACTCATATTTAATAATTCCGATAACAAGATATCTTTATATATCTTATATATCTTTTTATATATCTTTACTATATTATATTAGTTTATTATATATACATTTATGATCAAACTATAACCATATGCTTAACAACCGCAACATCTATAAATAACATATAAACCGCGTTATCGCGACCAGACTGAACCGATTCTCCGAACCGTCGGAAATCGGTTTGAAACGATCACAAAGGGTTGCGGTTTCGCCGATAAAACGCTAGTCTTATCCGGGCCTAAGAATATTTATGCCAAAATGTTTAGCCAAAATATGTCTATATACAATAATATATACAATCTTCATCTACAGAGTGCACATAGTGAATTTTAAAATTTTTTTCAAATTCTCTTTAAAATTGAATTTTGTAATTTAGGTAGATCAGAGGCATAGGGCGCTTCGGCCCATGAAAAATCACAGGGCGTGCCTGGGCACGCCCGGCACGCCCTGTGCGCACGCCTATGCCTCCAGCGTGTCCGACGGCCGACGGTTATGCTTATGATGCTAATAATAATATAATATAATAATAATGCTTATGTATGCGAAAATTGAATCTGAACTGTTTCAATATCTAAGAGCAAATCAAACTAGATTATGAACTGAAATTTACACTGACCTTCAAGGTGCGATGCAAGCTGACGGAAACCCAGATCAAATCGGCCAGCGAGTGATTTTACCATCTTAAATCTTTATATTAAAATTCCATCTTACTATACTTTTACTAATAATCGTTTCAATAGAAGAAAACAAGGAGAGCCAATTGTACAATACTCTGGAGTCAATAAATCCAATGTGCTCGGTCGAGTATACACTGTTCACCCAAGTAATGTTGAGTGTTATTATTTACGTATGCTTTTCCATTACGTCCGTGGACCAACTTAATTTTTAGATTTAAAAGCTGTTGATGACGTAATCCACCCTACATTTCAAAGAGCTTGCCAAGCGCTTGGTCTGTTACACGATGAAAGTCATTGGAATTTTACTCTCGAAGATGCTGCTTTATTTCAATCCGTGTCGAATCTAAGAGAACTTTTTGTTACTAATAATTTTATTACTAATAAATTGTTACCGATAGCATTTTGCCACATTACTAATTTAACAGAACTGTGGGAAAATCACAAACATAATATGTCATTAGATATTTTGCAGCAAGAAAGGCGTCGTTCTGGAAATCGCGATTTAGGTGTCACTCCATATATTTTGAATAAAACTTTAATATTAATAGAAAATGATCTGAAAATATCCGGAAATAAGCTGTCTGATTTTAACATAGAATAACCTTTACGAACTGATGATAATGATAATAATTTTCTTAAAGATAGGGCTTATATTGCAGAAACTTCTTATGAATATGATATACTTCCAAATTACAATCAAGAGAATGAGCCGAAGTTAACAAACGATCAGTAAGTTGTTTATAATACTATTTTCCAAAGCATATTGCAAGATATTGGAGAATTATTTTTTCTTGATGCTCCTGGTGGAACTGGCAAGATCTTCATGCTGAATCTCTTGCTTGCAAAGTTACGTGCACAGAGAATAATTTCATTAGCAGTCGCTTCTTCTGGGATAGCAGCAACATTATTATAAAATGGCAAGACAGCACAATCCACTTTCAAATTACCTTTGGATCTTCAGACTACCAAACGCCCAATTTGTAGTGTGAAGAAACAAAGTTCAGCTATCTATTTATATATATATATATATATATATATATATATATATATATATATATAAATATACAGGTAGGTAACGAATTTAACACACAGTTTGAAATATATAAGAGGTCAGATTTTTAATGGGCAATGAAGTGCACGGGTTCAGCTAGTATAATAATATGTATCAAATATAGTAAAAATGCAAAATCTTAAAAATGACTTATTAATTTATTAAACTTGACTTCACAGAATACAATCTTAAATAACTATTCACTAATTATATTGCAAATATAAAGTAAAAAATTATATTCTTTTTTTTTTCTTGTGTTTCTTTGATTTTGTTTTTGAACTTTTGTCTGAACTGGAACTCTAAAATCAATGTTATTTAATTAATTAATTTAATTAATTTTTAGCTATCAATTACACTTATAGTTTAAAAAAATTACATTGGATGAAGAAGTTGATAAATGTCTTTTTCTTTCTTTTTTTTTTTTTTGACTCACTAGACTTTTTCTTTTTTTTCTTTTTTGTACTACTTTTTATTGATAAAGTATCATTTTTAACTAGAACATCAGATTTTGATTGAACAGGAGCAATATTAATCTCATCCTCTTCTGGTAAAAGTTCATATACTTTTCCAGATGTTCCCTAAATGTATGCATGTAAATATATATATATATTAAATTATTATTATTATTATAGTAAATGTTATTTATAGTTAAAATCTTTATTATTCTCAGTAAAAATAGTAAGAATATATTTTAAAGCATTTAAAAATGAAAATGTAAATGTAAATTAAATATGTGAACAGCATATCATACTTTAAAACAGTCTTTAGCTAAATGTCCACCAGTTCCACATCTAACACACTTGGTATTATACACAGCATCTAATTGGATTGTTCTTTTGCCCTTAATATTAGGTTGAGATTTTCTTCTTTGTTCATCTTGGCTAAAAATTTAAATTAAATATTATAGTTTTAAGTATTAAATTTAGTAACTTCCATCTTCTAACTCACAACATCTGAACACCATTAGGATCTAAATCTCTACCATTACCTTGATCGACTAATTTCATAGACAAAGAAATTTTTCCATCATCCTACAAAATATTGTTTAAGTTATTTAAAAAAAATTGTACTTTATACATAATATAAATATGTTTACAGTTCCAATAACTTTTGCCCAGATTTTGTCTCCTTTAGATAAAACTTCTGTGGCATCATCTACAGATACTCTAGACAGTTGAGTACGGTGTACCAAACCCTGTTGCTTATTTCCTGGTATTCTAATGAATGCCCCATAGTTTTGGACAGATGCAACCTAAAAATATTATACAAAATATAATATATATATTTTTAATTTCTAATTATATTTAATTTAAAGAAAAGAAGTAAGAGTTTTGTAAAACGAAGCAAGAGGAATAAACGTTGATGAATATCATATAAAAGTACTAGGTTTTGCAGACAATCTTAACATCATAGGAGACTCATTGGATGATACAGTGAAAGCTACTGAAGAATTAGAACACGCAGCAAAACGAATAGGGCTACATATAAATGCACACATTTAACAAAGCAGAGAGAGCATTTTTCGCTTTGTTAAAGTTTTTTAAGTCTAAATTATTTTCAAAACGAACAAAAATAAGACTTTATACATCAATCATAAGACAAATACTAACATATGGTTGTGAAATATGGACTACTACAAATATAACAGAACGTCGATTAAAGACTTTTGAAAATAAAATATGGAGAAAGATATGCAGCCCGGTAAGGTACACAAGGACAAGTTAGTGACGTAGGAAGTACAATCAAGAACTGAAGGAAGAATTAAAAATAGTATCAATTAATGGGTTCATTAAGAGTCAAAGGATACAGTGGATAGGACATGTCATGAGGCGAAATACTGATACAGTAACTAAAATAGTACTAAATTAGAAACTAGAAGGGAAAAGGCCACAAGGTCGTCCTCTGAAAAGATGGAAGGATGTTGTAGAAAAGGATATGGAAGACCTTGGTGTACAGGATTGGAGGGAGATTGTGCAGGATCGTGATAAATGGAATGATTTGGTGATGGCAGCAAAAAATCTTGGAGAGTTATGAAAACCAGAAAAAGAAGAAAGAAGAATTATATTTAATTTAATAATGAACAATGTACTAAAATCGAAGTGTAAATAGTAAAATTCTATATTTCTTATATATATTTATTAGAATTATAAACATATATTTATATAAATATACATATACACATGTATTTATATAATCAGATTGTCAATTGCAATTATAGATAAATAAAACAAAAACTGCTGTAAAAATGATTGAAACGTTTAAAAGATTGAATGCATAATTTTAAAACAATTGAGTTAATTAGTTAAATATTATAATTAAAACTATCAAAAGATAATTTTGTAATATATATGTAAAGCATTAGGTACATTAAAACTGATAATTCTAGGAAAAAAAATTTGATTTAAATATCTACACTCACTTCACCTATAAATATATCATTTAAATTTACAGACATAATTTTGAAGTAGAAATGTTGAAAAAGTTTATATCAAGAACCTAAATTTGTTTACATTTTTAAAAATTTTCATTATTTGTTATAACGAGCTGTAGTTAAAAAAATAGGTAAACAACGTTATCAGTAATAATCCAACAGTTTTATACTACCTTACAGTGTGCTCCATAGACATAAAAAGCATATAAGTATTATTACTCTATGATATAAAGATCTTTTATATGTCTATGGTGCGCTCATAGATTAAAGTCTTAATGTTTACAACCGTGGTTCAACATTTCTATTGTCTTTACATAGATAAGAAAACTTCTGTAGTTTAATGATAACTAACTAACTTATGACCATGATAAACTGATAAAAATAATTTTTTACGCAGAATTTATATTTCATTGTTTAATTTTATTTGTCTTGTTATTCCTTTGTTGCGCGAAGTTTGGCTCTTGACAAAATCATTATGACTGTACTTATGTATTGTTAAGTTTCAAGTTCAAAATCGATGTATGCGTTATTATTATTATTAAATTACGCGGGAACTATTGCCAACAAAATACTATGAGTGTACAACCAAAAATGCATCTGTAAGGTAAATATTATTCGTTTGCTCAATGATAATAATATTCACAATCACTTTTACTCGTGATGTGTGTAACCATGAACGTATATAATTAAAAATACTGCGTAATTATATTATTGCACATTAATAAATAAAATTATACTTTTTCTACACTTTCATTATTTTAGAGATGTCTTGTCAATGGATGACAACTCGTTTGGCCATTCTGGCCGTTTAAAGAATCAACATAAGTTACCTGCTATAATGACCCCAGTTAATACGATTTCGACTCACAGTGATTTCAGTTTACCAGACGTTACACTTACATCACAATTTACCTCATTAAAACTAACTCCTGATTACAATGACAGTGATGAAGAAGGTGATGGTCATTGCCATAGCTTTTTACTTCTTGATGAGAAAGAAAGACTGAAGGTATGGTCATAATGTTTTCCTACTTTAGCGAAAATTTTAACTGATAATCTAGCTTATTAATAGTTATTAAAACAAGTAATTAATTATATTTTAATTGTTATTATTAGGAATATTTAATTATTTTATTAATTTTAAATAAATTATATATATATATATATAGATATTTAATAATACTTTGTTATTGATTTATTAAAGGTTTTTAATAATTTTAAAGAATTTTAAGATAAATTTATTAAGTTAATTATTGATCTCATTTGATCATTTGATCTTTCTGTAACATAATTTACTCTAATATTTATTTATGATTTTTCAAGGTATCTAATGTTGAATTATTTGTTAAACACCTCACGGGATACAAAAGTAACAATTCTGTAAAAGTAATTTCAATATTTGGAAATACAGGAGATGGAAAGTCATACACTTTGAACCAATGTTTTTTTAGAGGCACAGAAGTATTTCGTACATCTTCTGTACAAAAAGCATGTACAGTTGGAGTTTGGGCAGCTTATGACCCATTCTTGAATGTTATTTGTTTAGACACTGAAGGATTTTCAGGATCAGCAGTTCATAATAAACAAAGAACAAGGCTATTACTCAAGGTAAATATCAGTTTAGGAACATTTATAGTAAATTAGAGTAGTTCAATCTTTAATTTCAATTATTTTATGCAAATCTATTATTATTACCAGTGAAACTTACAGAGTATCCTAGACTCCAAATAATAAAATCAAAAATATATCTATTTGTGTAGTTTTAGTTATACAGTTAATATTTTTACTAGGTTTTGGCTGTATCAGATATAGTTATATATAGAGTTAAAGGTGAACGATTGCAAGATGACATGTTTAGCTTTCTTGGATCAGCATCTAAGTCTTACATAAAACATTTTCAAAAAGCCCTACATACTGTCTGTAATAGATCAATAAATCCAATTAAATGTGCTGATTCTTTACAAGGACCAACATTATGTATATTTCATGAAACAAGAAATACTGAACCTTTAGGATGTTGTATGTTATATATTTATTGTTTAACCTTTACAAAATACTGATATTTATGTATTTCAAAGATAATGGTAAAGATGTCTCAGAACAAATAAGAGATCGGTTTCATGAGTTGCAGCTTGATGTTGATGGATTTGAGTCCCTTCGTTATGTAGGGATTCAAACTACCATTCCCCCTACAGATTTTGATTCAATAAGAGATGTACTTAATGAAGAAATTACAAGGAACTGTAATCGACCACAAAGATCTCCTCAAATTGTTTATCTTACATTAAAGGTAAGGTAGTGTAGTGTTTACCAATTTAATTACATTAAAATTTTTGTTGATACATGATGTTTTTTTTTAGGCCTTAAATGACAAATTTACTGGTGAAATTAAGACTTTAGTTGAACCACTTTTTCCAGACCAACATCTAACTTGTCCTATCATATGTCAATCTTGTGAACAACGGTGTACAAATAGTGTTGGTCATTTAAAAGATAACATTCCCCATTTTAACAATTCCAAATGCAGGTATTTGTAATATAATTCATATTTTAGATTATATATATTTTATATCAATTTGATACCATCCATTATTTTGATTCATAATTAAGTTATATACTAAAAATAAAAAATATAATACAGTAGAATCGATATAAAAAAAATCTTTTTAAAATATTGTTTTATTCATTGGATTTATAAATTTTTATATATTGTATTATAGGTTTCAGTCTCAGTTTGAAAATTCAGTTTATATATGTAAAGTTTGTGCAGATAATGGAACACCTGTTGTTGTCACGTACAAGTACCCTAACGATACCCAAAATTCTTGGATTAAATATGCTTTGTCCGGGTAAATATTCCTCCAATTATATTTATATTAAATAAGTAGAGATTTATTGTTTTACTGGTTTTTATTAGTTTTATGACAATTTCTTATAAATGTTTAAAGCATAAAAAAAAACTACTACTAAATAATATTAACAAATTATCATGAAATTTAGGTATACCATTGATTGTCCAAAATGTGGAGTAATATATCGTAGTAAACAATACTGGTATGGAAATAATGATCCAGAAAAATCTGCAGTTTATACAGAAACAAAACATATCTGGCCTGGTGTAAGATTTCATATTTTTGAATACAATTTGATTAAAATAATTCTTATGAGCAACAAAAAAATTTAATTTGTAAAATGACTAATACAATTGTGAAATGAGGAATGTATTAGTTTTAATGATATATTTTATTGTCAGTGTTTACCCACACTTTCGACCAAGAATGCTCATCACTAATTCAAAATTAAGAGATAATAAATTGATATTAGTTGGTACTTTTGAGGGGTTATTTTTTTAAATATTTCAACAGTTTTCTAAATAATTAAGAAAATAGATAAAAAAAAAAATGCATAAAAACATGTAAACAATAATAAGTATTTAGTTCAAAATATTACATTTTTTAGTTTCAAAATATTTTAATGAAGTTTTTACTGTTTAAAGGCACTTACAAATGTTTGATTTTATTGGGTTTAACTTACCTTATTAAGACATTTTAGTTTTACTATATAATTTTATTTTGTATTATATATAATATTTAACCCAGTGGCGTATATAGGGGTGGGGTGCCTAGTGGGCTACAACCCCTCCTCCTCAAAATGTTTTAAAAAATTTAAAAATTATTTTAAACATATGTTATATTTTAATGGTGCTTTATGCTTTTTTAGAATTTGCGTCTAACATTAAATCGTTTAGAGACATTCTGTAAATGAAATGTAGATAAGTACCTCCTATGTTTTGTTAGGAATTCTTAGATAGCAGTGGTAATTTAACTCTGTCCATAGTAGCCCCTCCCGAAAATATTTTCTGTATATGCCACTGATTCAACCATCTTTGCAATTTTAGTTTAACATATTCAACCTCTTTTACTCATAACCATTTTTTTTGAAAATGGCGGTACATTGACTTCATATTAATAAGACCTTTAATAGTAATTCCATTCACCTGGAGTTTTATCCTTTTTTTTTTATAATGAACTTATGGTATATATTACATTGAACTTTAAATAAGAAATTGTTATTTCCAATATATTTCCAATTCCAATCTTTATAAGTAGAAACTAGGAATTGAAAGAATTTGAAAATATATTTTTAACTACCAACATCAGTGAAAAGTGTTGAATGCTTAACTGTATTTAAATCATAAAGTCTGTATAATTTTTTTCTTTTTTTTTACATGTTAAATATTTGTAAAATGTATTAATTATTCTTATAGTTATTTTATTACACTATTTATGATAAATTTAAAACATAAAAATTAAATATTTATCTAAAAGCAAATCTCAGTAACAAATTTAAAATATATTATTTTAGAGGACCTACTTCTTTTACTGAATTTAAACTAAAGTTAAGTTAGTGAATTTTAGGCTACTTATAAACAGCGATTGTTATTAAAAATACTATAAAAATATTTTTGGTGTATATTCTGTGAAGTTTTTTAAATTGGATTGTTTGTTTTATATTTTGTACATAGGTAATTATGATTTTTTTTAATTGGGTAGTTCAAAGAATTTGTATATTTTGGAAAATGTTTAACTATTTCTTTGTTCTTAAAAAATTAAGAAGTAAATTTTAGTGTGATTTTTTATAGATTTACTTTATGATGCAGTGAAACATTTATATTTATTTATTTAGATGGATTTACCTTCATCATCTAGCATGAATCCTGCTAGAAAAGTATTAGATGGAGTAACTTACATTTCTGAAACAGTTGCTAGTGTAAGTTATGAACCTTCCCGTTTATTATCTTCTTGGGTTGCCGATCAATTTGCACCAAAATATTGGAAATCTAATGCTGAAATAAAGGTAAATTGTAAAAAGAAAAGAGTTAAAAATAAATATATATTTTTATATAATATGAATTTAACTATATGAATTTTATTATTATCAATACTAATGTTAATGAAATTTATTTTTAAGTATAAATACATTTTTATATATGTTATTAATTTGTTTTCAGGAATGTGTTGTTTGTAAATTACAATTTTCTTCAACCTCAATTAAACACCATTGTCGAGCATGTGGTGAAGGAGTTTGTGATGAATGTTCTAAACGTACTATGTGTGTTCCAGAAAGAGGATGGAATACACCTGTCCGTGTATGCAATTTTTGTTACAAAAGATCTGGTTTGTATAATTTATATCAGAATGATAAATAAAAATAATTTTATATTATATATTTGTTTGTATTTTTTAGGAAGCATAAGTAGTAACTGTTCTGATTCTTCTAGTCGGGGAGACGAAAGTGAAGTTGGAGCTAGAAAATTTAGTGAAGCTGTTGTTCAAACATTATCTTCTGTTGCTTCAGTTTTAGAATATCCAAAAAGTAATTAAAATAATAACTTTTTTTTTTTGTATCATCTAGTAATTTTTTATTGTTCATGACTTTAGATCTTATTAAAGATACAGCTAGGCCATCTTATTGGGTACCTGATAGTGAAGCATTGGATTGTTTTATATGTAAAACAGAATTTGGATCAACATTAATATTGCACCATTGTCGTGGTTGTGGCCATGGAGTTTGCTCTAGTTGTTCTAGCCATCGAAAACCAGTTCCACACAGAGGCTGGCCAAACCCTGTTCGAGTGTGTGATTTGTGTTCAAATCAAGACGCATAATACATGAAAATACTTTATTTCACTGATTTTTATAACCATTATATAATTAAAAAGTATAAATATCCTGAAAGGTATTCCATACTGAATAGTTACAACCTATTGACAACTTGATAAATTGATTGCCATTTGGGTTATTGTTATTATTCTTTGAGAATTTATTATAAAATTTTCTCATTTTTTTTTATTATTGCCAAAAATAAATATACAAATTACTGTGATAGGTATTATTTAAGCTAGTCCTAAGTGGTTTCCTTGATTTCTTGGTGGTTCTATTAGTTATATTAATTATTATGATAGCTCCATTATAAAAATTTTGTATTAATTATCTCATATTATTATTTGTTTTATTTGATTAAATACTTATGTTTAAACCAAGTCATTGACTTATCTTTTTTATAATATTTTATTTATAATATTCTAAAAGTCTGTGTTCAACAAACCTTTAAAAACTTAGATTATTGTTATAAATTATAATTAGTTGTATATTATTAAATCTTATGAATTACCAATTTTATTATTTGAATAATTTTGTACAATATTAATGAATTTAACAAATTTTAATTTATTTAATATTTTTTGTTATAACCTTTAAAATTTTAAATTATGTACGAAATCATTAGACTTTTTTTAACTAATGATATATAAATTTGTTTTTTGTTTTACAAGTGGGACTGATAATTGAGTTATCTGATATAATATAATATACTATAGAGTTCAGAATTTTAGCAAACAATAATTCTTTCAAAATTATAAAATTTCCTTTGAGACGATTAATATAAACCATTTATTTAAATTAGTTTATTACTTTTCTTACAATTAATTCAATATTTAAAAAATAAAATAAAATTTAACTCATTTAAGCAATTGAGCTGGTTGTTTTCAAAATGATGAATTATGTTATAAATATATACCATATACCATGTGGAATGAACAGATATTGTTTTTTATCTCATTACAACTGGTTTTTTTTTTTTATATCATTGAAGTTATTTTTTTACAGTAAATATATGATATTACTGCCAATAAAAATGAATTTATCATTTTTTATAAATGATATGGATTTGTGGTACTGTGTCAAGTGTGATATAAATATTGTTGACTTTTACAGTTAGTATTGATTTCCTATAATCAATTGATTAGCAAAGTGTAATAATATGCATTTTTGTAAATGATTTTACAATTATTATTTTACATTCCCATGGATATTCTGAATACTATTATACAATCTATGCATAATGGAAGTATTGGATTGACCAATAAATGATCAACTCAAACATAAAGTCATTTTTTTTTTTTTAGGAAGAAATGAATAAAATTGATCATATATACAAGTGAAAATATTTTTTAATGAAATTGATGTAAGGCATTTTCATATTATGTAATTAGGTAATTACCTATATCAGACAGTGTTATTGTTGCAATGATATATTAGTTCAATATTTTTTTTTAAATAATAATTTCTAAAATTAATCAACATTATTACATAGATTGTTATATTAAGTATAAAACAATAATAGGTACTTCATAATTATTTGAACATAATATGTTGTATTGCTGTATTGATGTAAATAGTAAATAATAATGGTGAAAAAACAAACTGTAATGAATAGAGTAATAGAAATTTATACTATAGACATGATCTATTATAGCTTCAAAATATTCATTAAAAATAAATGTATCTTAAACAATAAAACTATTAAATGTTAAATTGTAACCTATATTAACATCACTATGTGGTTATAGAACAGTGAATCTAAAAAAATGTACCTATCTCATTATTTTACATTTATGATGTAATTAGCGATCCGCATGGGTTTTATATGAATCTGCAATAAAAAAAAATTGGTGAATTATTTCTAATTAATTAGATTAAGATGAATTTAGGTAATTATTACTAAATTCGTTAAAATTTTGGAGAAGGGGTTAAATACTTAAACCCCTTTAGGCACCTCAACATAGTGCTATTGCTGTACAGCACCTACATAGGTAAATAATATTATAGTACAGTTTATACAGTATTATAGCAGATAAAATAATTAATATAAGAATTTCATAGAGAACTTTCAGGTTATGATTAGACATCTTTATAGCTACCCCTTTAGAGACTTTGTATTGAATTACCATAGGTAGTAAACAAATAAAATAATCATTAATATTGTTGATAAAATATAGCAACCTACGTAATATAAATAAAATATTTGATAATAAAATAAAAATACAATTGATTAAAAACTGTTTATTGTTACAGAAAGAGTTAGCAAAACGAAAGCAATAATTTAGTTGATTTTATGTACAAGTGCACGGAAAAAACTTAATGAACAGTTTCATAGTAAAAAAACCACATTTTCTCCTTGTTCTAGTTGAAGCGCTACTTTATCACTGGACGTTGCTCGATCCGCCGGTCCCGATAGCATTGCTGTAGCGAAAGTGAGAAAAACTCCAAAAGCTGCGGTGTACAAACCCGATCCTGCATCATAACAAAATGCAATTGGTATATTTATAAACATCATGATAAATACGGACATAAATATGTAACCACATACATATATCATATTTATATCGTAATCATCATTCAATACCTATACATTGTCTGTGATGAAGTAATTACTCATGAACATTTTTACCCAAATACTACCTATGTATCCCACAAAGGATTGATGACCTGATGCTTGTTTACACTACTTGAACACCTCAAATCAGAAATTTAAAAAAATTCTGTATTTAAGTTAATATTTTAATATAATTATAATTTTATCATTTAAAGCAATGGTAGTATGCATTGGCGCATATACAGGAGTGCTTAGCACCCCAAAGTTCTAAATTAGTATCCCCAATTTATTTTGAGATAAAAACAGTGTTTAAATAGGTTTATTTTGCTTTTATAAGAATGAGTAAATTCCAGTTTTCATTGGTTAGATGAGGTTGGTTTATTAATGTCACGAACGTACAATGTACATACATACGTTTTCAGTGGCGGTTTTATGGAGGAGTCCAGGGGGTCTGGACCTCCCTCCAGGTCACGCTTTTTAGGTTGTGATATATTATATTTTATTTGCTGATATACGCTTGTACTCTTATATATAAATCTGGTGATTTCAATCGTATATCCATATATTTGAATATTTGTACAGCTATTGCCTATTTAGGTACTTATAATTTCCTTAAAATTATGACGTTTTATAAGATAATGTAAAAGGAACCCCCCTAAAAAAAAATTTAAAAAATTGCCACTGTACGTTATACATGTATGTGCATACATACATGTATAACGTAAGTATGTAATAAGAATATTGGGTATTTGTGTTTATGTTACATATGCATGTGATACTATGATGATGATCAAGTTTATTGCTGGAATACCATTTAGAATTTTGGTTTTGTTTAACGTCTATAGATTTGATCGCTTATTGATAAAAAATAATGATGTTTATTAATAATATTTAGTTATAATATATAAAATTATTACATTTATAATTAAATGGCGAAACTAAAACATTTTGTGCCAAGTAATTGTAGGGGGTTTTGGGGGGCTTGCAACCCATGGATCACCTTGGGTTGGATAATTTTAGCACTCTCAAGTTTTATAATGAATGTGCGCCTATAGTAGTATGGTATAAAAAGATATTTCATAGGAGCCTGTCAAAACCAACTATAGTCTCTCAAAAAAAGCTTTAAATAAAAATTAACGAAAACTTAAATTTATGATGTAGTGAGGGTGAATTTAAAATGATAATTACTCGTACATTTTTTTGGTATAATATGTGCAGGACATTTTATTCGTATAATATTGCAATCGGGCATGGAATTAAAAAAAGACAAATTTTAGTACAGAAATTTAACTACATTTTGAAGAATAATCATCTTTGTATCTCCCTCCCTATTTGCTTCACAACTCTGAAGTTCTAACTAATAATTAAACTAAAGATTTTTGATAATCTGAAATGTTTGATCATAATCATCTAAAACTTGAAAAAATATTAAATAATAACCAATAATTCGATTTATTTATATTTTAAATATACAATATTAAATTTAAATTAAACGTGTGTAATGATTACCTATGTAAATACTTCGTTACTATAAGGTAATCGGGTTAAAACTTTCTACAAGAATTTTATATAAGTGACTCCACTCGGGCATATGTTTTTCTTTTAAAAATTGTTGAGAACAAAGAATATAATTGTTTAGGGATAAATTTAATGATATGCGAGATGGAACATACTTATACAAATACTTATAATAAATATTGTCATAATTTCAATAGTTTTATTGCGTTGAAATTAATAATCCGGGTTTATACAAACGAACCATATTGAAGTGGATATATTAGCGCAGTGGTGGCTAAACTTTTTTTTCCTCGGGTCATAAAAAACAACTTTTTTTTATCGCGGGCCATAAAAAAATGCATTCTAAATTTTTTTTTACGTAAATGCAAAATATTACAGTTATACAAATAATTGCTCTAATATAGAAGACTTTCGCGGGCCAGATATTAAATGATGGCGGGCCGGAGTTGGCCCGTGGGCCGTAGTTTGGCCACCACTGTATTAGCGGACCATATTAAGTAGATATTCTATATATGTATACTATATATGCATATAAAATGACGTGTAAATAAAAAACAACAACACTGATATATTTAAAAGTAATTTTAAAAGTATATTGTGTTCTTAGCAGTTTTATAGTTTGTACCATTTTCTTTCACTCTCAATCAATAGCACGTATCACAGATTGTTGGCTATATATTTATTTAGAAAACTATATAAACTTATTCATATCATACCAGTCGTACAATCTGCTGAAACAAAAGGTTCTGATTGAGCTCCACATAATCTCACTATACGTTCTGAACCCCAGCCAGCCGCGAAACAAATTACGCCTATTAAGTACAGCAAACCTGTAAATTATAAAAAAAACGATTAATTAATCCTATATGAACTCCATTTAAATTGAAACGCTGTTATAGTAATTATTATTGAGTGGTACATTAAACTATTATTAAATAATATATTTATATTTTATAGTAAGGCTATGTTATAGTAAAAGTGTGAATTTCAGGAGACTAGCGTTTTTTGCTGAATATGTAGGTATACACCTACTTAGCAAGTTTTATTTGAACAAGCCTGTAGTAAAAGTCCAAGTATCATAATTTTTTTGTTAAAATATGATTTTATTAGTATTACTTGCTATAAATTATATATATTGTTCTATTTACCTACATTAGATATATTTTATATTATATGAATTAATTTAATATAATATTTAAGCAATTATTTATGTTTAGTGAAGTGTTGGTTTTAATATATATTTCACTAATTATAGAACAAAATAATAATAATAAAAAAGACCGTTCGAGTGTACAGAGTTTAAGTAGTCTACTTCTTGAGAAAGGCAGATAATCAAGATGGATGTACGCTGTTGCTACAATTGTTATGAGTACAATGAATCATTGCGTTTTAAAGCTGAGGCGAAAATTGATTATATTTTCAACTTTAAAAAGGATCGTAACAATACTAATTGAGTTAGATCTATATGGATACATATTACGTGAAATAATCACGGTACTGTAAGATTCGTCAGCTCATTATATTGTATCAATTCTCACCAGCGAGTCCTTGTCCCGAACCGGCTACTCCGAACATGCTCTTCTTGCGTATTGCTTGTTTGCAAAAGCTACTCACAGCCATGACGGACATTAAAAAGCTAACGAAAACGCCAGCTGACATGAGTACGACGGCGATCTTCCACGCGGTCGGAAACATGGAAGAATCTGTAGACAACCCTTCGACGGCAAACGAACCGCAGTGCTGGTTACCGTTGATCCGTGTACACCGGTAATAAACACCTTCGGAAGGACGGCAAGTGGCTGTGAACTGCGGGTCCGTGTTATTGTTTGCTGCAACAGTTGAAAGTTGAAATTTCTATCAGTATACATCACAAGACACAATAAGTGATGCAATAACCATTGCGAGTTTGAATTTTATATTAGTCATGTTTTTAGTATAACTGTGAATTTTTTCCTTTATGGCCATATACCTACTCATTTCTCAATACTACAATTGTAAATTTATTATTTAACTATGTTTCGCAATGATCAAATAACATTGAATAAAACAAAAAAATCACCCACTGAATTAATTCGAATAAATAATAATGAAATATTATCAATAACGAGGTTTTGCATTGCTAATTATAAAATGCCAGTTTGATTAATGTATTATGTTACTAAACATATGTATTTTATTAAAAAAATTTAATTAAATCACAAAATCATAATATCACGAAACCCTAATATATATGGAATAACAGTTTAGGTTGTATTACACCTTTATTAAATATTTAAATATTTAATGTATTTATCCCTCATCCAAACTAATGTTCAATTTACTATTAATTAATTTACTAATTTACTATATATTAATGTGTATACTTACTGTCTTGCAACACCAATTTATTTGGTGAATTACACTTGTAATCCACTGAGCCAACGAGCCATTTTGGTGAGTATATAGCCATGAACATGGTAATAGTTGACAACACGCTCAACGTGACCCACAGGAGACTTTTGGCGGTAAGAATAAAATACATTTTTTATAGCCTGTGTAAAAAAAAAATATTTTTCATAAAGTATAATATGATAGCAATCTATTTAAGTTTTTTTTATAATACTACTACTCATACATGATGTAAGTTAGTAGTTCAACATGAATATGATATTAGTATTAAATAAAAATAAAACCATTGATAATATACAAAGAATTTTATAAATGCCAAATTGGAATTACTGGCTTAATTTTCAGAGTACAGGTTAGATGTCCATGATATAATTTACATATAGAATCTAGGTATATACCTATTATTTTAAATATCATTTCTCTCTCTATGACTCTACACTGGCATGCTCCTGAAATTAAAGTGATACACCCCGTAATTATGTTACGTAATGTTAATTATTATCGATGTGTTTTACGCTAATTATAAGGATTTAATATCCTTTTCTGGTAGAATTAAAGAGCCACGAGTAATTTAACGAAATTAAAAACATTAAATTATCGGGAAACCACATCGCCCTCGTGGTGTTCGATTACAATAACGGAATACAATCATATCTATGTATATTATATTATGTTAACATATACACACGAAACTCCCCTCGTCTAATGAACACACCGGGTGACAGCGTATGCGTATGCGTCTCTGCGCATATGTTCATCATGACGAAGTGACGTTTGCCACACTCAATCTACAATATAATAAATATAAGTTATTGGAGGTTTGTTAATAGATAGATAAAAAGAAAAAAAAGGTTATTACGGTGTACATAAACGGCACGGATGAGTCATATACATTTGCTTGGTGCGTCTATACTTATAATAATACACCCTCTTATTTACCTTCATTCGTCTTAGTCACGATCCACGACGATGTACACCCTAACCGACAGCCCGACCCTCGAAAAGAATTCCCCTGATGCGCGCGTACATGGCTTACTGTAGCTAAGACCTCGCCACCTGGAATCTTGCAGCAGGATCAAGGGCGTGTGAAATATGAATCGATAGGGATCCGCCGTGATGGTAGTGGCGACGGGATGACGTTGATTTAATAATAATTCGATATAAAATATCGCCCATCGTGCGTCTTGAAAATAACTATTATTAATTCCAACCATCATCTCATGGAACAGTATTGTTTTTACATTTTATCCGTGTCCGAAAAACCTATAACCGGAAAGCAGCGCCCGTGGAATTTCATTCTAACGTAATTATCATAATAAATTGTATTGTGAGTACATATATTGTACTTCGTACACGGCATGTGTGCATATATATATATATATATATATATATAGATATTTTATGTCTATAATATATTTCATTTACGCGTACGGCGTGTACAATATTATGTATTATTATGTCCTTTCGGGCTTTCGATAGTTTACGTGTCTATATATTATTATATCTATTTATATATATATATATATATATACGTTATTGCACTTGAGCTCGACCGTATTGTGATTTAATTATTAAAAGAATACACACGCGCGCGTACTCGTATATATATTTATAAATTAATAATATGTGTGTAAAAAAAAATAAGAGAGGTGCTCGGCGCACGAATAATAATAAAAATAATTCGATATTCCGGACGGCATGTGGCGTGCGTTCGTGATTTGAAAAAAAAAATATTACGTAGACCCGAATAAAAAAAAAAAAAAACAGAATTAAAAATGGCGTTTAAATATCAACGGCGTAACAGGAGACCCTTATTGTGCCCGCGTCGTCTTTTCATCTTTTATTTTTCGTTACCGGCTATACTAAGCGAACAAACAAAATACTGTAAAACTCGCCTGATATATTAATATTGACGTCTTCATTTGCATCGCATCTACACGGTGTACGATGTATTATTGTATGCACGTGTAGTTGCTGTAGGTGTATCCAGTACACGGCTGCGTACGCATTATTAAATTATTTATACAGTGTTGTTGTACATTTATGCGGTGCTCAAAATCTGAACGATATTTTCACGTCGGCGCGCACATCGTCCTCTGGTTATTTCCGCGGGCTACGACGGGCGACGACAAAAACGACGATTATAAACAGTGATGATAAAAACGAATAATTTATGAAATTTACACATACTCCTCACTCTACTATAGGTCTGTGCCACATCGGACATCGACATCATGTACGCATACATATTACTCGTATAACAGTATTATTCTATTAAGTTACCGCGGACACACCACTAGGTCTTGTAGTTGAACGGTATATTATCATCAAATACTAACAGCAGTTCGAACAGTCTCCTATTATATTATATGATTACCAAGGCTGTAACTGGAAAAAAATTTCGGGGGGAGTCTAACATTATTATTTAACACAATTTATAGTTAATAAACTATATTCACAGCTAAAATGTTTCTACTTTTGAATATTTCGGGAGGGGTCCGGACCCCTGGACCCCCCCCAGTTACGGCCTTGGTGATTACTATAATCGTATTATTTTTTGGATTATAAATTACAACGAATTACGATGCATAAAACACGTGAGCGAGTCGGTAGATATGGAGTATCTAAAATATTGTCACGTTTTTGTGGACCTAGAAAGTATACGTTACATTGTAATCGTCGGAATGAGTATCATGTCTGCACAGTGTCGGCCGTGGCTGCTAGGCCGCGAACGCGTCTGGGGCCACCAGCCGAATTTGTGTTGAGGGCCCCCATTTCTTTAGATTTATAAAATATCATAAAATCATTGTAATTAATATTTTTAATGATCAATTTTTTAGTTTTAATTACTGGCGGCCTGTAGTGAACTAAAAACATTACTGTTATAAAAAAATCAATTTTACAATTTGTACCTATATCATAAAAAAAATATTAAGTTGTATATTATTAGGTATTGTTTATAATATTTATATAACATTGTAGCTTTATAAATAATTACACTTACTATGTAGTTAATTTTCAATTTTATATGTATTATATTTTAAATAAAACACAATTAAAAATAATGTAATATGTTTTACTATTTATAAGCACCTTTTTTTTTATCAATTTATGAGATACCATTTTGTGGGGATTTTTAAGTATCAGGCCGACACGGTGTCTGTTTCACTATACATATAAACATTAAACAGAATCGTTTGCCGGAAAAATAAAAAAAATTATCAGATTTTGTATATTTTATATAATTTTAATTACATACATACCTACAGTTACACATGCAAAATAAATATAATAAAAAACATGAATAAAATGCTTATCATTCTACATCAACTTTGAGTATATTTTGTTAAGTATTCTTATGTCGACGACGAAAAAACTAAATATTTGTAAATGATAAAAGTACACCAGTTGAATGGTTAGTTTTATTATTCATTGTACCTATTATACATTATTCAACCGGCCGTGTATATTATAAGTTATAATTTATAACAATGTATACAAAATCTTTTAATCAAAATATTTTCGACTTACATTTTAGAAAAAAACCAAGGAGTTACCTATAGGTTAGAAGTTAAGATGTTAAATTATTGATAATTCAAAAGAACAATTTCATAAAATGTAAACACAACTAAATCATTGCTAAACCATAAATTTCCCAATTAAAAAAAGGCTGTTTATATTCACTATGCAGTCGATTTGTACATAGTTGGTTACTCGCAGATAGAATTATATGAATGTTGACGTACAAAATAAAATACAATTCAAATAGTAAAAATAACTCATGCATAGGTATTTAATATTTATTGATACATTTTCATTGTATTCTTTGAATCAATACTCACGAATTTAATTAATAAAACTATATCAATTAATACATATTTATTTTGTGACTTAAATGAAGTCTTAATAGTGTTTAACTATCTAATTATATATAGGTATATAAAGGTTGCAGTATTCGAGTTTGTTAAATCTACAAGCACAGTACGAGTACACCTGATCAACCGGTTTGAAATTTTAAAAATCGCATATTGGATAGAAAAAAACATGTATTATCAGACGAAATAATTTAAGTGAAAATGATGAAAATGAGAAATCGACATAGAAAATATATTTAAATATATAAATAATTACTGTATGCATTTAATAAGATATCACATAATTAGGTTTTTTAATATATATATAAGTAGGTACTCTAAAACTAATGTATTTTAAATAATTTATCAAACAAGTTAATAAATTAAGTACTAAACAAATAAATTATTCTATTATATAGATGGTTTTTTTTCCAGAAACAAATATTTTGAGTATTTAATTATATTAAAGAATGTTGGAATTGTTTATCGTTTTCTGTTTAATTAGATAGATACCTTTCAAATTATAATTAAAAACTATTCAATATCAATATTTAATTTCAATAATCAATATTATTTTTTTAACATTACTTATTATTTGTATGCATATAATAAAATATTGAAGATCATTAAACTAAAAATTTATTTTATTACTAATTTTGTTTTAATCATATTCCATTATTTAATCAAAGCCGGATTAAGCACTTATTGAACCCCGGGGCTGAAATTTTATATGGGCCCTTTTTACAAAACATGCTTTACAAAGCTGCTCGCTACGCTTGCAGAACGATACATTTATTTAACTATTTCACAAATTGTCAATTGCGTTATAAAATTATAAAATTAATAGGTACCTATATACAATTTATGTCTATAAAACTACTAGTTTTGGTATGATAAAAAATGTGTATCGGCGTAAAATTGTTTGGGCCCCTTTCACTTGGGTATTCGAGAGGGCCCCTACCGCGCCAGCTAGACCCCCCTTAATTTGGCCTTATATTTAATGCATATTTAAATCGTATACATAAAGTTATATTTATTATATTAATGAATAATTTTTAGAGGTCCATATGTTTCAGAAATTATGTTGTAATGAAAATAATATTTTTTTATCATACTTTTATCAAATTAATTGGGCTATTGAAATTTATTTAATTAACAACTGTTCGGGTTACTCAGGGTTTATGATTACGGTGGACATGAATCGCGACATTCGGGCTTCTACTAAATATACTATTCACTTTTTTGTATTTGTTATATTTTATTAAACATATTATTTTAACAATAGAATTTCTTAAGTTTCCTTCATTTTAACATAAAGGTATGGAATAAAATAACAAATTATGTTTGAGAGAGAAAAATCAATTTTTCTCGTTTGACTCGTCATGAAACGACTGTAAACGTACAATCGTCGAGTAACAGATTATTCTTAAATACTAAAAATAAAACGTCGTAAACACCCCATAGGACTATAGTAGTGTTTTCTTTGATTTATCTCCTAATTGAACTTGAAACTTACATGAATAGTGAAGATGGTCTCAAACTTATCTTAATTATGTGTGTAGGGTCTTTCGTAATTATGCATATACATTATTATATTTATAAAAATCTATATTTAACTCGAAATAAGGTGTCTGGTGAAACAAAAAACTTGATGATGTAAGTTATGTATATATTATAAAGCGTACAATGTATACCCATAAACATATGGAACAGCTGTTCGTTTAGATCATATATTAATGGATGAATATATTCTTTATTCAGATTATTTTAAGTCATTGTTAATATTAAAATCTAACTATGAATGAAGAATGTGGCTCAAGAGGCTAATACAAATTAAATTGAAGTGCCTATACATTATATTGTATTTTTTATGATATCTTGAAATAAAGACAGCCGTATAAATTGTTATTAGTAAAATGTGTCGAAATTATATGTGTGTACATATGTATTGGAAAAAATGATTTAATGCAGAATATTATATTGTTACACAGTGAAATATCCCAACATCGATTCTTAAATATAATTAAATAAAAATGTAATTCTCAAATTATTAAAACGTCTAAACAGTTGTATCGCTTCATATTTTATGTGTTTCGATGGATTAAATGGAAATAATAAATTTAACAATTATTATCGTATTCCTGCACTCCTACGAAAAATACCAAATTATACATAAATTATAATTTTTAATTAAACTACAATTTAATAAAATGTTTCTCGGAAGCACGGAGTAGAAAATGTAGACCTTAAAAATATTGAAATAAACCCACAAATATATTGTTATATAAACATAAACATAAAAAAATATGAAAATAATGAAATATACACAATCAAAAAAATTTAATAACAAGCAAATTATTATCTAAGTCAGTCGGTTTGTATAGATTTTAAAACATTAATATTATATATTATAAAGTGTGAGTGTAATATCAAATATTATTTTAATATAATAACCTGTCATAGTAAAATTACAAATTCCTATTAAAAGTGGTCATATACATAATATTTATAATATATAATACGTTATAATTGTAGTTTGCAGTTACAATTACTCAACAGTCATAATAGTCAAATAATAAATATCTCGTTTTATTTTATAAAACCAATGTTAAAATTTATCGAAAAATGTATTTAAACTAGGTAGTTTATTTTTTTTGAAGCTCACTAACTTGTATTCTCATCATAATTATATTGCTTTTTTCATATTATAATTTTATTCTGTACCTATTATAAATTCTAATTCACTATTAAGTAGTTAAATATAATAACATAATAGGGGTCAAACTTGATAACTATTGCGTTTTTAAAGAGACAAGCAGTAAGGATGAGTCACGTTTGATATGCCCCTATCATCTTAATTTAACTCCTATTTTACTTTTTTCTAAATATTTTTTTAATTATTCTTAAATATTAAAAAAATTATAGATCGAACTTTGTTTTATTTCTCATACAGCAGTCATGTTATTAATTATTATTAATGTAAAGACAACACCTGAAATCAGTCATGTTATTAATTATTATTAATGTAAAGACAACACCTGAAATCAGTTATATTGGTTTCTATTTTACAACTAGTTACGGATGTTGTTGACAATTGCTTGTGATTTCTAAGTAAAATTTTATAGTGACGAGTTTTATTTGTCATTGCTAATAATACGTTTTAAAAATAAAATTTGATTTATTTATTCTACAAACATATTAGACGTATTACATACCTACTTAATATAATTTATTTATTATGAAGAAATCACACGAGGTACAAAATTCATCAGGTAATTAAATAATTATATATTTATTATAATATTTACGTGAATGGCGCATAGTGCACAAAAAATTAATGTTTGTTTAAAATTCAAGTTAAATAAATATAATTATACATTAATAATTTAAATTAATTTAATTTTTCGAAGTGCAGTTTTTATTTATGTTGTAATCTCGTATATTTGTTACCTACTCATAGTTCCTAAAATGAATCATAAAATGATTCATTAAAAATAATTATTGATTACAAATCAAAACTTAGATAAACTTCGTTTTAATTTATCTAGTATATATGTTATAATAATATTTTTATTGATATCAATTATATATTTATGAGAATTTACATTTATTTCTTTTAATTTCTAAATAAACTATTAAATAGATTAATAATATTAAAATGTATAAATAATTATACACTTAATGAAAATTTCTGTATGATAAAAACAATTACATATTATATGAAATATGTGTACTTTATAGTCGGTAGTTCATTCAACGTTTTAAAACACAGTAAGCCAATAAGATATATTTACATATTTTTTTAAATATTAGCCAATGCTTATTATATATTAATAGAATAGAGCATTCATATGAAAATAATTGAGTCTTAAAATTTATAAATTTCAAAGTTGTGAAATAATATCAATTAGACGATATTAAAGTAATTGAATAAGAATTAAATCAAACATTTTCGCTGTTAAAATGTACAATAATTACAATTTTAAAGCATTAAATCACGAATTTATAAGATTTTACTTTTATTGTAACATAAAAATCATATTATTTTTGTTAAACATGAATAATAATTATTTATACTATTTATATTTAATTATTAATATAATTTACTTTAGGAAATTAAATGTATATTATAAACGAATTTTTTTTAATAAATTAAAAATTAGATGATAACATTAAATGTTATTTTTTAAATTTTTTTTGTAACATTGAACAAAAATACGGAATAATTTACGAAGTAGGATTAAAATATTATTTCAATAGATTATATATTTAATAATTTGGAAATTATATTCTCTTCTTGGTGACAATGGGAATTAAATATTATTTTTGATTTCCAAAACATATCCTATAATTAATTATATTACTAAACATTAAATTTCACTATGAATTTTGACTTAATACTGGTCTACTAGTGGATTATAAATATATAGCAATAACTTAAATTTTAAAGTTTAGTCAGATTAAGTAAGGAAATATTTGAATTCGTCATCTCTTACTACGAGTAAATATCGTAAATGTGATTCACATTAGTTACTTTACCATAGACAACATATTTCGGGTTTTCGTACATCGTTTTATTTTTTTAACGTATTGTTGTGCGTTATTAAATTACAAGTATCATATATTGTTCGTCAACTTTCGACTGGTACGATTGTTCGGGTGCGCGCGAGTGATTGTGTTTCGTTGGAAAAACAATAGTGAATTTTACGAAAAAACATATTGAAAATCGACGTAGAATGATGCAGAGCCTCGCAGACATTATTGTAATACTATACGCGAAGTGGTGCGTTGATATTTTACTCGCGCAATGCATTCATGCGCAATCGATGGGGTACAATTGAATGTCAATCAACGGGTCCGAGACATCGTATTACCTTTTGTTGCTGTTTCCGACGACCGCGAACAAGTACCGTGTATGTGTATGCGACACCACGAATGCGCGTGATCGAGTCCACGTGGGCGACGGGAACCGCTCTCGTTGTTCGCAGCTCTCGACCACCGAAAACCGTGTTCCCAAAATCACGTGACGTAACAACACCGGTTATCGAACGGCACCGATGCACGTGTCGGGAACATGTTCAGGGACGAACCGTTCGATCGGGGGGGAGGGGGTGGGAAAAAAAAATAATAAATAAATAAACGCGTCCAATCCGTACCGCGAAACCGAACGAAACGAGCTGAGCGAACGGCGGGCGGTTCGTTTCCGACCGGGAACGACGCGTGGAAACGGCGATCGCCGAGATTTACCAGCGCGGCTGCTGCGGTTGCGCTACGCGACGACGGTTTGCCGGGCGTTGGACGACGTGCCGTGAACGCGCGACGTGACCGAATGAGACTGCAGCGGCACGCGTACGGCCGGGACCGCGGAGTGCGTGCGCGTACACGAACGGGTTGATAGCTTCCGCCGCCGGTACGCCGACCGTGGTGGTACCTACGTGTTACCACCGTGGTACGCCGACGCTCGGCGGCAATGCCGACCCGGGTTTCCGTCGCCCCGTTGCACTCGTGTGCAAACTACCGTGTTATCCGAAATGGTAGAAAAAACAAAAAACAAAAAAAAAAATAAATAAATAAAACAATAGTGTTATAAAAAAAAAAAAAAAAAACCGTCATTAACGTACGCATTCGTTGTGGGTATATATGTGCGTGCCGAGGAACAAAAAAAAAAAAAAATAAAAAATATATATATACAAATAAAATAAAACTAACAATAACAACTGTAAACGAAAACAAAAGCGATGTTGTTAAATCGAATATATATATATATATATAAATAGGGAAAAAAAACTGAATATTCCAAACAGGTGGTCGGAAAAAAAATGATGTGTTCTGCAACGATGATACGGAAATTCGGTTAAATGGCTTTACTTTCGAAAATATAAAAATTAGTAAAAATCGTTAAGAATACAATATAAACGTCGTTATATTCCTCAACTCTTGTCTCACGCTCTTTTTTTTTTTATAAGGAAGACACACGCGTAGTATGAACGTATGTAAAACGACACCACCTGCTTAAATGATAACACACGAAAAAAGAAATTATTTCCCCTTCCCTTTACACACACATGCACACAAACACACACGCATTATACACATTTCTGTCGGGGTAACATCTGTACTGAATATGCGGTGTGCCAGCGAAAGAAAACGACCCTTTTTTTTGTCCGATGGGCTACTAATTTTTTACTATAAGGGATCACTGCAACTACGTCACCCTATATTTATATAAATGACGTATTTCTATGCGCACGCATTGTACAGAATTATATACATATACATCGCGTTTGTTGTTTCTGGGCCCATCTGGATTATAAATCTCCGTCATCGCCATATAAATAACACTGGTAGCAGTCCTCCGTGTATACATATACCCTACATGTTGTCACCCAACAATAAATATTTAGCTGGTCTAGTTCATGGCACCCAGTTGAGAAATAATAATAAAGGAATAGGGTCAGTCGGCGAAAAAAAAAATTTAGCTAAGTAATAATCATTATCTTGTTGAAAGTACAAATATAAAATTAATGCATGTAATATTAGTCATACGTACGCATTAACATCGAAATCTAGCCGACAAAGGTCAACGAATCGCTTGATCATATTTCACGTACGGTTGTAATCGCATGACCATTCGTTGTTAATAAACGATAAAACTTTTTGTGTGTGCGCTCACATTAGGTATAATGTGAGTAATCCCCAGGACCATGTAATTATACATAATAATAACTATCTCGTTCATAAATCATAAATTATATCGCATATACAATAGAATACATACATCGCATTATACATAATAGAAAATTTAGGGTTTTTAAAGTTATTTTTCTTGAAAAAGTAGACGCAAACAGTTATTTTTATTTGAAGGTTTACTCTTTGTGTGACCGCTATTCACCCGTTAAAATATATCTAACTAAAATTTTCGTTTACAAAACTAGTCATATTTTCACAATGTCTGCAACTAATTGGAAACAAAATGTAAAGCTAAAGTCACTTAAATATTTCAGTTTTTTGCGGTCATACTTTGAAAAGCTTATAATGGAATACAACTAAAAAAAAAAAAAACAAACATAAATATAAAATAATCCATGAAATCCAATTAAATCCAATTAAATTTTTTTTTATATATTAAAAATTTAAATAAGTATTCATATTGATATTAATTAGTACTATAAATAGTTAATTGTATGTACCTGTTCATTAATTTTTTATATTAAATTGTACCTTGGATAAATCTGATAATCATTAGTACGGTTTAGTAAGATATGTAAATGTGGTAAATATTAGTAATATTTATTATTACCTACTTATTAATATTAATGAAATTGTGTAGTCAACCACTTTGAGATTATAACATTTGTGTGGTTTAGTAAAAAAATTGTATTTCTTCTTTTAAATGTATCATATTATAATTAAATGATTATTTGAGTCTCTAACTACAAATGTTCAGTTGTATAAGAGTATTATACAGCCATAGCTTAAACACTTAATTGTTTTGTATTTTAAATTATTTTAAATTAAATTAGTTTAATTTTTTTTAATTTAAAAAATTTGTTGAAAACTATTTGATTAGTAGTCATTCTGTATTAGCTTAATAAATATTTCATTGTCAAATATTATTCTCTACAGATATTTTAACCATTAGATTTTCGATATAAATGTGATAGGTAGTTAATTATAATGTCAAGTATTCGATCCACATGTTAATGTGCACATCGGTTAGATTACTTTACAAATAAAAATATTTTCGTATGCATAAATATCTATGATTTTAAATTTATAAATCTCAATTTGTATTAGATTAATATTACCATTAGTGAGAGATGTGAAGTTTTTTTAATTTTTTTTTTTATTGAAATATTATATAACAAATAGTCTTGACAGTTAAAATATGAAGTTAAGTATATTTATAACGTATAAACACAGTGTAATTTTCTAATATTGGAATAATAACTTTTTATTGATTGTTTTTGAAAAAATCGCTCTCAAATTCAAACTTTAACCATGATGGACGGTTATAAATTCGTAGCTTAATTTGTTCAAAAAAGTATATTGTTATTTACAATATTAAATGGCAATAGTTTTATTGTTTTGAAAAATGACGACGAAAATATAGTTGATAAAATATAGAATACGTAATATGTTATACATCATTACTCGTATATGATGCATCAGTTGTTTTAATTATGTCTCCTACCACACGTCCATACTGTTATTGTTAAAAAGATTTCACAGCGATCGATTATAGCTGTTTCACAAGAATACAAAACTGTAATTGAATAATATGTGTCTTTGAACTGTTGTATATAAAACTAGCTGTGTTAATTGCATTGCATTATTTGATATGGTTGATATAAAAAAAAGCATATGTTCAACATATTAACCCAATCACTTTATCATGCGTTTTTACTAGATTTGTTCAGCAATTATTGAAACACTTACTATTGAATAATTAATATTACGTATATAATATCCGAGTCTCAAGAATCGTGATGTACATAAATAGATACCTAATCTTAATACTGCATTCATTATTGAACATAGTGGCATTGCATATTTTACAATATACATCCTGCTATTGCGTATTTGCATATATTCCATTATCATAATATTATACAACTTTGTCAAGTACATATAACGTACGTGATATTGATTTTTTATTCTAAACTTACTTATAAAAAAATCATGCATTGTAGGGTTAAAATATCACAACATCATATACTACAATAATATAACGCATCATTTAATTCAATCTACTATTCATTTATACTCGGTATAAATTGCATACGAATTATTGATGTGTTGAAAACGCTTTAAATTAAAACAAAGGGGACTTTATGTACTGATTTTTAGTTTCTATTCTCGTGCATAGATTTAACTTAGGTATTTACTTAATAGTATTTTAAAGACTGACGGAGTTGATAATAATAAAATATCTGTGTAGTGGGTACCCATAGTATAGGGCTCGGGAACCTACGGTTCCTTAATATGCAATCTGTGGCTCCTTGGAAAATGCATCAATATTGAGACCCGTACAATATAAATTTTATTATACGTTATTATAGTGATAATATATCTGAATTTCTTAATAACGATGTTCATTTCAGTTAAAAATAAAATAATATTTTATCTATAATGATTTCACAATATTTATTATTCATTTCTACAAACTTTTCACCGTATTGACATAAAACAAAGCAATATTATGAACGAGATGTATATAAACAAGAAGCGTAAAATTGAAGAGGAAAATAGAGAATTTAAAAGTGATTGCGCTTTTGTGATTGTCCGAAACACCAAGAGACAATCAAAATGTTTTATTTGTGACAAAATCTTACGACTAAAAAAAAAAAAGGTTATCCAAAAGACTCTTTGGACATCCCATGGTTTTGTAACTTTTATAACCCCTACTACAGTAGGTAATCTACGTAATAAAATATATTCTGTGAACTACGATATACGTTGTATATTTTTTACTTATTTATAAATATAGTTCCTTTTATAATTTAATTTTTTTTAATATTATTTAATAATTTGATAAGTCATGCAAAAGCAATGAGTACTCACATAAAAATCAGTTGAAGTATTTTGAAACGTCAGGATAAATATGTAGAAGTATTACATAGGGGATTCCTAGTGCCTACTTCAAGTTAAATAAAATGTACTTTAGGTTTTGAATCTTGTAGGAAACTGAAAAAATGCAAGAATGAAACACAATAGGTTGATATATTATTATTATTATTATTATGCTAATGCTTTAGATTTTTATGCATGTATTACCTTTAATTATCACTTACGTTTTTGTGTACAACTAGTGTGTGGGTTTTTATATATAATGAATTGAATTCAACGGGCATTGAAAAAAATCCACTTCATATCGTATTTTATTATAAAATATAATTATATGAATAAAATACAGTCATTGTTAGGCACAAAATAAATAGATGGACACAACCATGTTTTCTAAAGATTGAAATGTCCTATATATATGTTACATCACTGGAACGCATATTTTATCTGTAACTTGGGCATTTATATTATAATATTTTATATATTTCTACAGCCTTATAAGAAGTTTAGAATGATATATGTATACACTAGATATTAAATATAATGTGTTTCATACAGATAAAAATATTTAAAAATGAATACGTTGGCTAGTTTATAGAAATTATATCGTTTTACGTTAATGACGTTAACAAAATAAATAATTATGTAATAATAATGGACATTGATATTTTTGTTAACATAAAAACATGTAACTTAAAATATAAATTTTAATCGTACTACTCCTACAATAATTATTTTATAATTTAAAATTTAATTACTGAAACATTACTTTATTATACGAGTAGAAGTTTATTTATTGCAGTGAATTACTCGTATAATGAATTATTCTATCTCAAATTATTATTTAGTTATTTTTAGAAATAGTTTGTTGTATTTATTTTTCTTTGAAACTCAGCTGCTTATCTACACTTTAGAAGTTATGATTATTGTATAAATTAAATTTGTTTAGCATGTACTCTCCATTGATTATTTTTTGTATTTGCATATGAGATAGGAAAATGTGATTTTTAATAATTCATATTGCTGTAAAAATATTTCGTCCATATGATTTGTATATTAATATATAATATGTTCAATGATTTTATTGGTTAGTAACATACTAACATATTAATGGGGAATCAAAATATATTAAATTAATCATGAAATTGACTATAGGTACTCATTAACTATCTACCATTTACATTCATGTACAGAAATCATGGTAGCATTGATACATATGTAAAATTTAAAAGTATACCTAAACTAGCTACAAATATTATTATAACACGCATATTTTATTTTTTTTGTATTATTATTTTTATTCGACAAATTAATTTTTGCTAAAAAATAAATGATAAATTTAAGTCAACGAGTTAGTCAGAAATGGACCATCATAATAAGATCATGGCAACATGTTACACTAGATCAAGGATGGACAAATGATTGATGAAAAAATGACTCATCAATAGTTTCAATGCGATCTGCGAAGCATGATTATGTGAAAAAAATTATAGATATTTCTATTAGAACATATGTTTCAAATATTTACGTGTCTATCCTATATACTTGATTAAAAGAGCGACATTGATAAACAAAATCATAAAAAGAAAAATAATGATTGATGGAAAATAATCATGTCCTGATATATATTTTAACGTATACATACAGAGTGATTCCACGAAAACTAGACAGATAAGGAGACCAAACTCTGTTGAGCGTTAATTAAAAAAAAAAAAAAACGTTCAACATATTAATGTATATACCTACTCTATGACTTTATTTACAATTATTAAAAATGATCCTCAGTACGTGCCGTGGGCGCATCTATATTAATTTAGTAAGTACTTATACTACCTTTAGTTATGATCTCAGTCATAAATTAGGATTTCTAATTAAATTAAGTTTTCCGAGCAATATCCTTCACCATGACCAGTTAATGATTATAGAATATTTAGATTATTCGACTTTATGTATTTTTATAATATCGATTAATATGCATATATATATGTGTGTGTGCGTCTATAGTATACACACATTACTGTATACGTTTAATGTATAAATGCAACCACTGTAAACATAGTTAAGGCGCAAGGTCTCTGATACCAGACGTATTACTCAAAAGTAGAATTACCTACTAAATACATTTTACAACATAGTTCCTTTTTCCTTTACTTTTTTATTTTATTTATTTATTAATACGGACAAAAGTCCAATTCACATTTAGATTGACTTATAACATAATCTTTAAATCATAACACAATGATATGTGTATTATGTTTTATAACTTGATGGGGTACAAGAGATACTTACTTACCTACTTATGTATCTACTAAAATAGTCATGACTTATCTATTATAATTTATTGACAATGTAAAATTAAAACGAATTTATGATAATTTATTGACAAATAGGTACGAATATTGATAAAATAATGACCGAGGATTTTGGATTCAAAGTGCCGAAAAATATAACTAAGCTCAGGTAATTTTTTTACATTAATGATGTCCTTAAATACAATTTAGAAGATGAAACGTAATTAGTATGCGCATTGTATACCAAAATTCTAAAACTATTTATAAACCTATATATGTTTAAAAATACATTGTGTAGCTTATCCAATTTCGATGTAAACCAAAACACGTTGAACATCTTAAGCGAGTACCTTCAAACAGAAGAAAGTGTTATTAGTGAACTAGTATTCGACGGTATAAATTTATCGAATATGAATTATTTATGTTGTATTACGCCAAATTCCAAGTAGGTACCTTCCAAGTATAGATATTTTATTTTTAACGTGAAATATCGTTTTGTTAAAGTTCTTTAAAATTATTATTAATGCACTAAACTGTTAATAAAAGTTGAATTATTTTTAATTCTATTAAAGAGTAAACAAATTATGGTTGAGTCGTTGTCAGCTTAAAGACAAAGGAATTGAAGACCTTATCACTGTTTTGGATGAAACAAATATAAAAACACAGTTGAATTCATTGTATTTGGATCGTAATGGTATAACATGTAAAGGAGCAAGACAAATAGCACAGGTGAATCGCACTCATACAGTTTAGTACGTATACATATAAGCAGTGCTCGAATTGGTAAAAATTAAGTAGAGGAGCTCAGTCCAACGATTCGAAAACTGCGTTCCACGTGCGCAATTATTTAACACAGACCCATAGGGGGCTTCGTCCCTCACCTCTACCCTCCGCCAACCATACATATATTTTGAATACCACTTTTCAGCTAAACAAATAATTTAATCCCAAATATAATATATTTTGATAGCAATACCAACATCCTACATGTTACAATAGAAAATAAAAATAAAATAATAATTAACATAATTGTAGGCGATCAGGCAGTTTCATGAATTGAATGATATAATCATATATTTGGTTTTTGTTTTTATCTATTTTTAATTTTTAGTGCGGGCCTCGGCTGAAGATTAGTCGTGATGCGGGCATTTATTTTTTTCCGAAATGCCGATATCGTCGATCGCCAATATTAACAACAAACCGTACAATGTATAAAGTATAATACACCAAATTCACAGACTATTGCTATTTATATTTTTCCAGAAATGACGACGTTGTCCCTTATTATAACCACCATATAATTTTAATATTTAATTATGAAAATAGTTTTGATATTATAAATCGTAAAATTCGTTTTTAAATTTACGTAAATTGAAATTCACATAAAAATTATTTTGGACATCAATTAGGATGAACGTGGTGTCCCCCGTTCCGGTGAAAAAATATAGTTGGGGTACGCAAAAAAAAAAAATTAGTAGAGGAGCTCCCCCCGCGTACCCCCCTAATTCGAGCACTTCATATAAGGTTATTCAAAAGTATTCACTTACAAATTTTAAACACATGTAACGTATTTATTGTTTGTATGTTTTTGTATTTCTGAAAAACTTCTCAATTCAAATTCATACTTGTGTTATATTTATCAGATTTTAAGAACTAACAGGACGTTACAATCGCTTTCTTTAGCTAGCAATTTAATTAAAGACGAAGGTATACTTGCTATAATGAATGTTTTGTCAAAATTTGATCTCGACGATTACGAAACGGAATGGAAATTTAAATATGAACAACGAAGAAAAAGACTCGTAGAATATTTAGTATGTTTAAATAATTATAACAGTAAAAATGATGGCAATGTCGATAAAATTATGTTGGTAGTTAATATGTATTGTATAGTGTTATGCACAAATGTGAGTGAATTCGGAAGGATATGAAACATCTTATATTCTAGTGCCCCACCTTCGTTCATAAAAATTCAAATACCTATCTATATGTTTTCCAGAGTTTTTTTCGATGAACTTGTTTAGGTATATCGATGTGTTAAATAAATAAATCTTCTTTTTATGTTTAAGACCATTGAATTCATCCTTTGAGCCATGTACATATAAGTGTTTACAGCATACAACAAGGCCATTACCTGTAGGTGAGTTATGTTTCAGAATCTCTCGAAATTTTTCTTAAATTAAATTGAATGGTTTTAAACACGTATTACATTTATAATTAAAGTTATAAATATAATTTAATATAGTTAAATTTAAAAAAAAACTTTAAAAGTCAAAACACATATTTACATTTTAACTTCTATCTCCCACAAAGAAAAAAGAAAAAAATATTTTGCTGGCTATGGCCTTGGCTTACGAGATCAGTTGCTGACCATTATTCTTTGCTCACAGGCTGTAACCTATATACATATGTGTGTTTACTTCTTAGATCGTAAAAGGACTGTAGGATCCCAACCAACATGAAGTTGTAATAGTATTTTTTTTCCAAATATATAATTAATAATATGAATGAAATATATAATTATAATACGAAGTAAATGTAATATTCTAGTAATTTATTATATAGTTTGAAAAAAAAATTGTAATTCAACACCTAACCCAGTTTGGAAATGATAAAAGTTAACTTAATTATAGTATCATAATTCCTTAAGTATATTGAATTATTTTACGCCACTCTTACTCAGATATTTTAATCGCTATGGTTATTAAATTGTATGCTAAACAAATATGTCAAAACCATTTGTTACAGATGGATACTATAAGTTGTATCGAATTAGAAAAGGAACAAAGAAGTGTTACGATTAATCCTACTATTAATAGCTCAATAATATTAACTGATGGTACGAAAAGTCCGAATTACTACAAATCGGTGGTGAATTTAGAATAAGTCTACTTCCTCAGATATTAAAGGGAAAAGTAGGAATACTTAGAATTATTTTAATTTCCCAGATATCGAGGGGAAAGTGGATTTATACTTGTAATGTATTTCACAATATGGGTAATAATTGATCGACGTAATGTTTAAATTGAATATTAATGTACAAATCCAGTTTATCATTTGTAGTTTGATTGAAGTGGCAATTCAAAAACATGTTTACTCCCAGTATATTTTATGTTATTATATGATATTATTTTAACTTTTATCTCATTATTTGTAAAATTGAATTTTTTTAGAAATACCGTATAAATAACGGGTCCTTGGATCGAGTGTACCTAAATTTTGGATTTTTTGCAATGATGTTGATACAGTCGAAAATATTCCATGGTTAGGTAGCGTACGAAATAATCTTTGCGAAACATTAGATTTCTCTAGCTTTAGATGTTAAGTGTAAAAATATTAATCAACAAATGAAAGAAAATATATTGTTAATATTTATAAAATTTAATTATACACTTGTATCTCTGTGAACCAATGACGAAAAATTGATTGGAGGCCATTGGAATAAAACGCAGGTTTATTTTTTCTATTCAAATTAAGTATGAATCTGTATAATTTATTCAAAACGTACGCCTTCAATAGCTGGGGAGTTCACAATAAAAGTATTAAATTGCCATGTAAAACTTCCAAACTTATAATTTTTGCAGTCTTTAAATGTCCGGTCACATCACTACTGTAGCTACAGATTAGGTATACTATAATAGAATAATATTATTATACATAAATATAATATAGCAATATGACATTGATTTATTTTAAACAACCTATTTAATATAAATAAATATAAAATTAGTAAAACAAACATTAAAATTTTCATATTTCAGAGGATAACTTAAAACAGAAAGCTGAAAAATTACTTATCTCACCCACACATCCTTATTTAACAGACCAATTATTAAGAAGTGGTTCAAGTTTTCACTGTCTGGGCAATTTTAAAATTGAATATCTGAACATTTCATGTATTATTTATTTTTGAGATTTAATTATAGTAATTAATAATTAAATTATTTTTTTCATAGATAACCGCTGTAGCTCAAATGTTTTAAGTTTTATAGAACAGGTACTTCAATATCAACAAAACATTTGTTTACCTGAAGAAGGAATAAAAGATTTAAAAATTGAGGTTGTTATAATTTTTCTTAGTTTTTTAAACAGATTATAATAATAACAATTTATAATATTTAGAATAAAGTTTATAAAATAACCAGAAGACATATTAAATAATATGCTAGTCAAAGAAAAGCAGTAAGAAAAAATTGAAGAGAAAAATTGTCCAATATATAATATATTATACTAATAACTATTTTATTAAAATGTTGAATAAATATTTATCATAAACTATTTCAAATAACACTGTCAAATGACCAACACTTATGAAGTATGAATAACAATAAGGCATTTAATAGAATATAATAAATTTTAGTGTTCAATTGTAATATACAACATAAAATACATTACTGAAAAAAGTAAATAGCTAAGCACCAAAGCTGGCTTTTAGGTTAATGGAACAAGATGATGCATTATAGTGCTGATGGAACTTAAGATCTATCTATAAATTTTCTTAGTGTACCCAGTATAATACAGAAAAAACATTATAAATACTATAGTCCAAAAATCAAATTTGCAGAAGTTCATTGAAAGATAAGAATTACTTAAAATAATTAAATTGAAAACACCTGATAAAATTAGTTTCTTAAAGATATTTAATATTTATATTGTTCACTTTAAAACATGTAATTAAATTAAATTGTTTGATTTAATTACTTGGGAGATAGTAATTTCTTAGTGATACTCAATAAATTAAGGAACTGATATAATATAAAATTATTTGCTACTTCAAGTAACAAGTAAAATAAATCACCAATCTAATAATAACACATATAAAAAGGTACAAGTTTATCACAATTAAAAAAAATTTAAATAAGATGTTTACTTTTAACATTGCATTTTTATTTAATTTTAAATAAATAATAGTATAATATAAAATATAAAGATAGATATTAGAAAAAAAACAAGAAACTTATATTTAAAACACTTAAATATTCTTCATTTTTCAAAATTGAGAAACATCTAAATTAGAAACAGCTTTCTTCACATTTTCAAATAAGGAAGGGTTATTACCAGTTTTTAGGAACAATGCTAAATTAACCATATATGTATCAATAGTCTCAATTGTAGGTGGTTCAGTATAATCTAAAAAAAAAGTAAAAAGTAAACAAAAATATATTAATAATTTTTATATAATAATATAAATTATAAAAGTAAACAACAAAGAACTCATATATTTTTTTTTATTAAAAATTGAAGTATTAATTATAAAATAATGCAATTTTTTTTTAAATATTTTGGACATTAACTGTAGGAGTGTTATACTACGGGCAGTTAGGACTTTAGACAGCCGATCCTTTGACATCTCCCATAACTAATAATTTAGCACAAGAGACAAGGCATACTAAAAAAGTCTAGTTGCAAATTGTCATTCTTCGATGATCTAAATATTGTGCATACTTAATTCTATAGTTAATTTTTCTGTTAATAAAAAATGTAACTTTATAAAACTCTTAGGTCAATAAATGTTTTTATATAATTATCATGTTTAGGAAGATAACATTAAAATTAAAATCAATATTCGTTCATAAGTTAATCACTATTATTAATTAAATATATAAATATTGATTAATGTAATATATTATTTTTTAATATTATTATAACAATTTTAAAAGCATTGTTATAAAAAATTAAGTAGTAAGATTTAGAATTTAAGATAATTCTTTAAAATATCAGATAACTTTCTTTAAGCTTAATGATTCCAAAAATTACCATAAATATTAAAATATAAACTATTATATTTATTATTTCCCTATGATTTTGTGGTGATTAATAAATGTATGTTTAAAAAAATAGTTTACAGTAAATAATAAACATAATCATCCTATAATGAATCATGTCTTCTTATAAAATACTTTTTTTAAAATTATTTTTTGATAATTCTTTGAAAAAAAGTACAATAATTTAATAAAAATGATTACCTGGTAAGGTAATAGAAGAAAATGCATCAAGAAGTTTGGATCGTAATTTATCTAAATGCTTTTCAAATGTTAAGCTTCCTACTTTGAGTTGTTCTGTATTAGCCATTAATTTAACAATACCATTATTCATATTTTCAATATGTTTATCTAAAACAGAAACTTCTTGCTCTTGATCTGTTACAGTTTTGCGAAGATACCTAAGTTCACTTTCTCTAGCTATAAATAAAGAATACATTATAATATGATTAAAAATATTTATAAATCAATAATGTAAAAGACTAACCTTTATTAAATTCAAGAAATTCTTCAGTAAATATTGGTATGTCATGAACTATATTGCTGTTATCACTGGATGGTTTTTCTTTTTCTAATTCTTGTTCCTGAACAAAAGACATAAATGATAAAACTTAAAAACATCAATTATTTAAGATAATTAAGTAAATAAATCTACATAATTGTACTAAGTTATGATGTTAGCTTGACTTTTATTTTATTGAATTATCTAATAATATAAAGCAAGACAAATTTAGACATAAAATGTAATTTAATGGAGGTTTTTATGCAAATATAAACAAACTAACTTTTTCAACAGTTATATCAACTTTTTTCTTTTTAAATTTACGCTGAATAAAATTTCTGTATGCTTCAGTTTTCTTATAAGCTGCTAATTCTTCAACATATTTTACTCGCTCTTGTTCAGCGGCTAAAAGATATTGCTAAAATAAATAAAAACAATAAAATATTTCAAAAGAAGAATAATTTAATCCTTTCTAATGATATTTAGTATACGACTAATGGTAATTCAATAATATATGAACACTATGTTAAATATTTACTTGTTTTTTATCAGCAGGTAATTGGTTCCATTCAGCAGCTAAAACTTTGGTAATTTCTGCAAATGGTAAATTGGGATTTTCGGCTCGAAACTGTTCGCGCCTATCATTCAAAAATCGTATATACCCTACAATATGAAGATAGATGAAATACATTTTTGTTCTGTTCAAGGATAACATTGCACTAATTTAATTCTTACCAGAATGTGGAGGTCTAGGGGCCGTCTTGTCACGTATGCATTTCCTCCGTTTTTTACCTTTTACATTGCTCTTGTCATTTTTTTTCGACACACCATTTTCAAGCAATGCATTATCTTGACCTACGATAACTCAAACATATTAATAATCAATTTTGAGAACATCGTGTGCTGAATCGTAATGTAACTGTAATGCAAAGTACCGGCTATATCTGCGGTCCCATCTGCTTCGATCATCGCGAAAGAAACCACGAAGAACACGCAACGAATTAAAACGATAAACGACACGTGAACGAAAAACAAAACTTTATGCAAGGAATCACAATAAACTCGAAAACTTATCGATTAATACAGATCGTATGGAAAAACCTGGGTCTTCTCCATAGTAAAGTAAAAGCGGATGGCCATAGCATCCCGTACGTCCAAAGAGTATAACAATACGAACAAATCGTACCATTACGATAAGTTCGTTGATAGTGTAGCCAACGTAAAGCGGCCGTGAGGCGTATCTGGAAAGCATTAAAAGATTTTTTATATCCAAAGGTGGTTGTTCGGATACATTTCCACTGAATGAGTCTTAAATTCGCAATACTATTATCCGGTTAAATACTAACCGGGGGACCAGTAGAATTTTCAATAGCGTTCTCGCGCAACTTTCCACTCGCATACATCTGAGGACTTCGTTTTGGAACGTGTGTACCCGATACCGTCAGGTTATCAGGACACACTGCGAAACAGATTTCTTATTGCGGCAAAGCGTAGGAGGAGTCCCTGCGGCTTCTGAATCATTTTGGTCGTAACTAATATTTTCCCCATTAAATTTGAATTCTCTTGCAGCTTGCAGTATAGCACTGTTGCTGCGTAATTATTGTAAGATAAATAAACAAAATCATAACATGGGATCAATAGTACTTAAAAGTCTATCAGTTCTGCTTGGTATTTTTTTCCTATTTGTAGGCACTCTGAAAATGAGTCCTGTCATCAGCAAAGAACTCCACAAGGATCTCGTAAGAATAAATTGTTAACTCAATAATTTAAAATTGTTTATATTAGGAGTGATATATTTGATATGTAAATTAATTATGTTTAGATTTTTATTTGCATTTTCGTTTATAACTGTATTGAAACATTTTTATTTCATGTATTAATATATTATTTTATTATTATTTGCATTTTGAATAATATTAATGACATTGTTATTAGTCGAAGATGACAGAATTTTCAATTAATTTGTGAAATTTGTTTTTAAATAATAAATATTAATTTTTGTTCCAAAGTAACTAGTACTTCTGTTTTATTATTTTTATTTTATATATTTTTCTGTCATTTAAACTTGATCAATAAAATATATATAATAAAGTAACATAAAGTTAATTTTATTTTTTCTATTTATTTTTTAAATTTGATTATTTGCTTATAAAATAAATATAATAAGGTGTAAATTGATAAACTTGCTCTATGTTTTGCATTTTTAGCACACAATATATTATGATTTCTATTTATTGTATTTACATTTATTATTGAAATAATTTTATTATAAACACTACTAATTAGTTAATGTAATCAAAACTATTTAGATTATATAAACAGCAACTTATTTTTATAAACATGAATATGGTTTACTGTTTTTGATGAATCTATTTGTGGTAAATGTGCAGATTGGCAACATGCCCACCAATGAATTTAAATTATTTGGCTTGAGTAAATTTGTTTTAAGATTCTACCAAAATATGTTTTTATCGATAACTTTTTTAAAATAAATTATATGCAATGTGCTAGTCGTATTAATTAAGAAATATTTTAACAATATAATACATCTTTTTTGAAAATAAAACTAGGGATTTACTTTAAGCCAGAGTTATTATAATTTTAGTGTATTGATAATCGAGCATTATATATCAAACATTAAAAATTTAGTACCTGCATATAATACATATTTGTAAAAATATTTGAATAAGCTTTACATAGTTAAATACAATATCAACTATTTTTTAATAATAACTAAACATTATTAGGATAAATTAAAATTATTTTTCAATGTCAATAAAATATATTCTATTGATAATTATATATTAATTTTAAAAGTTTATAAATGTATAAATAGCTTGTAGTGTTCAAATAAAGTAGCTTACAACTGAAAATCAAATCAATATATTGATTATACTTAGTTTAAATGTAAATTTTTTGTAGCGAAAAGACTATGTGAAGTATGCCAAAGTATTTCCACTGTCAAAAGCTGTGGATATTAAAGTGCCAGCAAAATGGTATAGAAGAGCTGTAGGTGGAATTGAAGTACTAAGTGGTGTTTGTTTGGCATTTGTTCCTTACCGTAAGTATTTGACAATGAAATTTACTAGTTTAAATAAATAACCTACTTACTAGTTTATAAGAAAAATCAAATCTAATTTTGTTGTGGTGTTTTTTTTTAATTTAAGGTAATGTTAAACAAGGGGCAAATATTACTCTTTTGGTGTCTCATTTATTGGCTGTTTATACTCACTATGCAGCCAAAGATAAATTTGAACGAATGGCTCCTGCTCTAGTGTTTTTATTCATGTTAGCTGGACGATTGGTTATTGATTATCAACTAAGACGCAAAGAACTGGCAGAAGTTGCTGAAACTAAAGCTCAAAAACAAGAATAAAAATAAAATAAAATTTCCCAAACCCTGCTCATTTTTTATTAAAAATTTTGCACATTAACTATTGTATGAATTTGTTTTAATTTAAGTTGGGAAACACACCCCTTGTTCCATCCCTCCAAAAACTGTTAACAAATTTTTGTGTTCATCATTCTAGTCATTATTGTTAGTTTGTAAATAATTTGTGTGAAATATTAAATATTTTTACTAAGTTTTTTTTTCTTGACTTCAATTTAAATGTAATATTTATTAAAAATAAAATTTAAAACGAATGTATACATATATTAAATATCATTATAATAAGTAATAACTTATGTATCTTCACCAGTAGTTAGTAATTTCAATGCTTTTTGTAAATTTGCGACAGACTCTGAAACATCATCATAAGTTAGTGCACTTGCAGCAAATTTGCAATATTTCTGTGCTTTAGAAATTTGTGATGGTGTTAGCTGTACTCCATCTAAAATATAAAATATTTTAAAAATTATAAACTGATATACTTCTTTAATTGTTAATTTATTTATAAAAACATTACACTGTTTGTATCACTTTTTCAATATCAATATATAAATGCAATTATTTACATTTTACATTTGCAGTGTTTTTAACAAGTTATAAATAACATAATTACATGTTTCTATGCCCAAGTGTTAAATAACAGAACAATATCTAAATACTAAGTAAATAAGAAGCATATACAAATGCATTTATATAATTAATTATATTCAAGCTAATAATTATTAATGCAACACCTGTATTATAACCATAAACAATTAAGTTACATAAGAAAAACTAAATATTTTATTGTTGGATAGATATAATACACTACTACTTAATGTTATAAAATGTATATTTATTAGTTTTTAATTTTGAAAATAAAGAGTAAATTAATTTATAAAATAGTAAGATTAACTTTTTCTGTAATCTATATGGATTTTTTTCTATAAATGAATTTTATTGAACAATTAATATATTCAGAGAAAATAATTGTACTCAAATTCAATATTTTTGAACTTTATAATTGTTATTACAACTAGAAAGTAAGTTTATAAGGAAATTTAAAAAGATAAGTAGATTTTTAATTTTTAAGGTAAAACATTTTATAAATTTTTAATCTAACATAAATAATGATTAAATAGCATTACCTTTAAATATAATAGGTCCCTTGGAGACATCAGGTTGTATATCTATAGGTGTCACTACAGATGTGCTGGGTAAATAAGCACGTTCATTAGGTGTTGATGGAGGATAATCTGCAATTATAAAATATTGTTCATATCTAAAATATATGTCAATTAAAATATTATACCATTATATGTAGGTGTAGTAGGAGCAGCAGGAACAAAAGTATTTGGTTGTTGTGGTATATCATTCCCTTGATTTTGAAAATTGAAACCAATTTGACCACTTTCTGTATTTGGTGGTCCAGGTGTAGGAGTTTCACCATTTTTCATACAATTATGTATATACATTGCTTTCCACTTGGCATATTTTTGAGTATTTATAATTTCTTCAGAAACATCACCAAAAACACTTAATACATCCATAAGTAGTCCAGCAGTAAAAAATAATTTAACTGTATTCCTAATAAAAACAAAGATATTATATATTATGAGTTTCAAAACCAAAATACATAACATTAAAATGAAACCTACTTATTGTAATTTCCTTGGCGATCCATTCCATCAGCAGTGTTAAATAATTTAATTGCATAGTTTTCAAAATGTGCTTGGGCAGCAGTCTCATGTATGATCATGTCATTATCTTTTAACGCTGTTTTTTGTTTTTCCAACCAATCCATTAATGACACCAAAAACTGTTTTGCTTCTTTTGATGATTTATCAACTGTTAATGCGGTTTGCAAGGCGTAAAGTCGACCTTAAATAAAAAAAAAAATCAATTTTTTAACATGTAAGACTGAATTTTTCAAGAATGAAATGGCTTACACCAATAACTTATGATGGGATCTTTATTGTCATGTTCTGAAGCGATTTTTAGATAATGTTGAATTTTCTTTAGACTTTCAGGGCATTCAGGAACCTGCGCCATTCTACTTGGACAATTTAAATGACTTGTATTGAACTGAATAACATCAAAATAGATTAATGACTAATCGAATCCGCACTATAAATTGTTAACATTAGTCAACATGTTAATATCAAAATATTCATAATTATTCAATATTCTAATGTATATGATCATTTGATAACAATATTATTGACTTGTAATCATAGAGTAATATTACTCTATGCTTGTGATAAATTAAAATGATTCATACCAGCTTAATAGTTGATAAGTATTTGATATGATATCAAAACGTGACTTCATCATGAACATTGCCTACACTGGCTGTGTTGGTTGGCATATTGTATCAGTTATATGATTCCAAACTAACATTTTGTTCATGTATATCAGTGTATGACTCTGTTGACTGTTCTGGAGCATGTAACATTGCCGACTTAGGTTTGTCAATTTTTGTTTATTTTATCTACGTACACAAATACCAGACAGTAGACATTGTTTTTGAAATTTGTGTTGTTTAAAGTAGATTTATTTTTTTATTTTTTTATTGGTAGCATATATTTAATAGTTTATTTAACTTCATTATGAGTAATAATAATAAATCGGCACTTTTCGCTTGCTCTAAGTGTTTCAAACGGTACTTATATGAAGATTTGTCATCTGGTCAGCAACTTTGCAAAGTATGTGAATGTCGTGGGGCATTTTTTTATTTTGTCACTCATATTAAATGTTTAATATCAACTTGAAATTTATAATGGATTTCAGGAATGTCGAGGATCATACCCTATAGTGAAATGTACTTATTGTAGGACTGAATTTCAGCAGACCGAGTAAGTAATAAATATTTTCTATTCAAGCATCAAAATCTTTTTGTACACTACGTTTCATATAAATATTATGGTCAAAGCTTAAAGGTTACGTATCGAAACGGTTTGAAATAAATATAAATATTAACAAAACTTATGTTAATTACTTTTTAATCTTGTAGGTGATAATTGTCAAATTATATTATTATTTTCATTTTTATCTACAAATGTTTTGAACAAATAATAATTTTATTCATAAATTTAACTTATATTAACTAATTTACTTTAATATTTTTGTGACAAGCAAAATAAAAAATCATATAACTTACTCATGTAATATGTAAATTTTTTTTTTTAATATAACTAATGCAAATTTAATTTAATTTCAATTATTTAGTTTGTAATATTTTTATTTTATTTTAGTAAATCAAATACAAGTACTATTTGCAAGAAATGTGAACAATTTGTTGTACAATATGGAAGGCCAACTGCGTGCAGTTATTGTAATATAATAGCAGCATTTATTGGCCAAAAATGTCAACGCTGTGCTAATTCTGAACGCAAATATGGACCACCAGTTACTTGTGATCAATGCAAACAAAATTGTGCATTTAATAGAAAAGATATGGACTGTGAAGTATGAATTTGGTATAAAAAATGCTTAAAAAATGTCTTAATAATTTTGTTTATTTTAGTTGCTTGATGGGAAGGTATTATGTTACTTGTGTACTTTATCTTTTAAACGAGCTTTAGCTAAAACAAAGAAAACTGATGCTGAAATGAAACAATTAGTAAAAAAACGTGATGGGTTAGTATTTTAGTAAATCTAGATAATCAGTGTTACATTAAAACTAATTGTATTTATTTATATTTAGTTCAAAAAATAGAAAAACTAAACATAGTAATGTAATGAGAATAATTGATGATAGTGGTCCAGATTTTGCTTTGCCTCCACCTTCAAAGATGCATCGAAATTCTCATAGACATGTTGATGCAAATTCTTCTGATCATGTAGTGGTTATTACTGAACTTAGAGAGCAAATAACTATGTTACAAAAACAATCTAATCAAAAGGATTTTCAACTTTTAAATAAAGAGAGATTTGTAAGAGTTTGATATTTTCAATATTAAAATATAAATATATTTTGTATCCACGATTTAATTAATTATGATAAATTCATTAGATTACTGAATTGAAAGCCAAACATTTTACAACAGAAAATGAATTGCGCTCAAAAATGACTTCAGACAAAAAGGAGTATAGCAGAGAAGTTGAAATGTTACATAGTAAAATCAAATGTTTGCAGAAAGAAGTTGCTACTTTATCTAAAAGTGGTGGTAAACGTGGTGTGCATCTACGTAAAGAACATGATAGTGGTAGTGGTACTGATAGTCCATCCGTCACTTAATTATGGTGTTATAAGTACTTGCCAAATTCATATTATATTTGGTATGTACTTGTATGTAATTTGTTTAGTGTTATACAATTTTTTATTTAATTTTTGTATAAACTTAATAAATATTTGTCATCCATTGAGTTCTATTTAATCTATATCAAAGTTAACTGACTACTATATTATGTAAACTATTATTTCAGTCTTGTTAAAACAAATTTTACTTGTATTCTTAAATTTAATAATTGCTCATCTGAAATACTATGTTATTTAATATTTATTTACATATAAAGTGTAATTGACTTATTCTGACTCTCAATTTACCTTTACAATTAATTTCCATTAATATTCCTGAATATTTGTTTTTTTTTATTAATATTTTAAGTTATATTGGAAGATAGTAGTTTAAAGATGTAACTACTTATCTATGTTTATGATGGGAACAATTATAAAAAAAGTGTATTTTTTGATATTTGTGTACCGACTGTTGCCAAAAGAACACAAAATAGATTGCTATAAACTTTAAACTTATAATATTTACATTATTGCTATTGATTTTTAATTAAATTGTTCTAGAATAATATTTGTAGTAATAAATAATGTGATTTTAAAATAAATGTTTGAATAGTTTTCATAATCTAGGATTATTATAGATATTTCTTTTGTGTATATAAAAACACATATTTTTTTTATCCAAATATCCTGTAAAATGGCTAAGAAAGTTTCAATTTATTTATTTAATTTAATTTAATTGTTACAATAATTCATGGAACATATAAGAATATGGATATGGAAACGGACATATGGAATATATTAATATTACTACAAACCAGTTCAATAAAGAGAATCATGTATTAATAAGTTCTCAAACTAATACCTAATAATTTATCTAAAATAAAATTATATCTGTGACATATCATATAACTTTTTTTATAACCTCTTTCCTACTACCAAAGGTGATAAGGAAAAATCAATAACTTTTAGTCACTACTACATTTGATACAAAAACAAATAACTGAGTTTAATCTTACTCCTAACTGTCAAAGTTTTAAAGTATCTATTTGTTTTAACAACATTTTCATTATGACTTCATTTGGTTTTGGTCTAAGTGAAATTATTAATGTGCCTTCTGTTTTTAATGACAAAAATAATACGAATAATACATTTATCGATCATTCAGGTAAATTGAATGAAAAGCCTGTATTTTTGTATTCCTTTTAGGAATTCAAAATGAGTTTAATATTATTCTAAATTGGTGATATTAATTGAACATTTACAAATCTTTTCAAAACTTTTTCCAATGTAGGTTGGTGCGTTGATTGGCGGTCTTCTCAACATTGGATGTTTCAAATGGCCAATGTTCTATTTATTGTATCTTATTCGGTACCAACTAGCTATTATGGCATATTATTTATGCATTCAACTTTAATAGCAGGTACCTAGGACTAAAGTACTAATTTAAAAACCGATCACATAATACAATCCCTTTGTTTATAATTTTATTTAACAGCTAATAAAAATGTTCAAATGTAAAAATTATTAAATGAAAACAAAAAAAATATATATTTACTAATTTGATTTTAGGTTTTCTTATGTTGATTACTTGGGCATGGAGAATAGTATGTGCACCTGATGTTTTCACTTGGAATTTATGTTTTCTTTTTATTAATATTTTACAACTAATTTATCTTATTTATCAAAGAAGGCCAATTAATTTTAACTCGGAACTTGAACAAGTTTACCGTAGTATGTTTAAGCCTTTCAAGGTAAATTATTAAAAAATTAAATCACTCAATTATTGATCGCAAAAAACAAATAGGTTACTAGAATTCAATTTAAAAAGCTGGTTAGTGAACAATTTGCCCAAATTGTTACTCTACACGTTGGTGAGGCCTATGCTATGCAAAATATCACTAAGACTGATAGACTTGGGCTGCTTTTGACTGGTAAAGCTAATGTACTCCAAGACCATCAGTTTCTACACCCTATTAGTCCATGTGAATTTTTGGATTCTCCTGAATTTGAAAGCAGAGGATCTTCTGAAGACAAATTTAAAGTAGAATTTTTTTTTAATTTTATTTATTTTATTTGTAGCTAAGAAAAAAGTTATTACTAATTTATGTATATTTCTTAGGTTTCTGTAATCGCTGCAACAACTTGTCGATATATATTTTGGCAAAGATCAGCATTAGAATATTTATTTGTGAAAGAAACATATTTAGCCACTGTAATAGCTACTTTAATTGCAAAGGATATAACTATTAAACTTTACGCAATGAATAATAAAGTAGAATAAATAATCTGTGCTTCTAGAATGAATTAATGATAATTATTTTTTTTTTAGATTATGACAGAAAAAGGATCACATTTAGATATTAGGTTACCAAGTATTACTCCAGCTTTAGCATCAAAAGATTGTAAGCTACCAATTGTGAAAACTTTAAAAAAACAAACAATCACATCACATTGTCCTAAATCACCTATACCAGCTGGTAAATGTATTTCATAAATTTATAATTTGTGTTTTTGCATTCATTTAAGTGTATTAATCTTTGTGATTGTTGAGTTTTTGAGCATTTATGATTGTAATGTGAGATATTTATGAAAGAAAAAAATGCTAATTGATTGCCATGTAACAACCTATTTGAAATTAATTGAACATTATTAATTGCCATAATTATGCCAAAAGACTGTTGTAATCATGAGAAATGTTGACAAAATGATGGAAAAATTTATAAAAGTTTTTATACTGACTGTGCATTTTAGTTAAAGCTATTCAGTGTTTTTAAGACTTTTAATTCTTTACGAGAGAAAAGTATTTACATTTCTTTTTTAATGCTTAAGCCTTATAATTTTTAAAATGTCTATATAAGATTTAAGAATTTATTATATAGATTTTAATTTATTATATTATATAGACTAAAATATTGATTAAAAACTTATTGGAATAGATTCGTTTCAAAAATTAAAGTATAAGTACAAAATACAAAATAATTTTTGAAAATTAAATTTGCTGATTGTTTTTAAAAATTATTAAATACGCATAATATATTAGTTACGATTACAAATATTGAAGAATTGAATACTTCGGAAAAATAATACAATAAACATGATAACATAAGTACTATATAGGCATTTCAAGGATTTTATTTGTATCATAATTTATAAGCATGGATAGAGTACTTATATATTTATTTAAATAAGTTATGGGCGAAAGATCAATATATATAAGGCGGTTTAATAAAATAATTACTGTAAATCACAATCATAATCTTAATAATAATAATAATAATAATAATAAATTTAATAATTAATAAAATATACATTGATCGAAAATTGTTGAGTTTTCGTTGGTGTTTCGCATCATACATGTAAGAGGTTTCATAAATAATTAGTTGTGCAATGAGGAATAGAAAAAATATAGATGTGCGAGTATTTTGTATAGTACTTAACCTAACCTTTATATTAATATATTTGAGTAGGGAAGGAGAGTCAGTAGAGCCAAAGAGGACCTTTTGGATAAAATGTAAATTATGTTGGTGAAGACAATCTAAAAGGGTGGAAAGATTTAAAAATTGAGAACAGGTATTTATTGGTGTATAGTCATGAGGAACATAGTTTATAGGAACGTAGTGTATTTCATAAAATTAAAAAATCTTCATTGGACATGTTCAAGCTACTTGCGAGCATCAGCTGTCTGACGATCCCAGACAATCGACCCATATTCAATAATAGGTGTAACAAGCGAGCAATAAAGAGCTTTTAGTGAACTGAAAAGTTTGAATTTGCCATATATGTTTTTATATATATATATATATATATATATATATATATATATATATATAATATATATTTATATATATATAGAACTTTAAGTGACTCACATGTAATATAATTAATGTGAGCTCGAGGACAAATAGAAGGAATAAATATAAAGCCAAGGTCACAAAAACTCATGTTAATAGTTTGAAAAATTGGTTGACATCATCAATTGAGTTGAAGGATAAGAAAAGAAAAGAAAGGAGATCGATAACGGTAGAAAATCATAGATCAGCATTTATCAATGTTCCAAGATAAACGAAGAGATTAAGACCAAACAACAAAATTATTGAGATTGCTTTGAAGATACAGACAATCAATACCTATTTGAATCAATTGTCATAAATAGTTTCATGCCATCAGCAAAGTATAACAACTGGTAATATGTAAGTGAAGAACAAGCAAAATAAACAGCGAAAATAGTAAAGGGGATGTCCCCCTTACTAGATGTAGAAAGGAAAACTTTGGACTTGATGTTAAATAATTTTACCCAACGAGAACGAGAAACTAAAAATTAATAATACTTTAATAATTAAATTATACACGTCGAAGCCAAATAATATTATCAAAGATAAATCGTTTGTCTATATTATTTTTATAAAAATATAAAAACATTTCATCACCCTTATTCATTAAAATGTATCAATAATTAAATATTTATACACACACACACACACATATATATATATATATATAACTCTTAGTTAATTTTTACTACAATTGTTTTATATTTGGGTGTAATATTGTAGAAAATGAGACTATTTTATTTTATTCAACTCCCTTTGGTTCCTTATTTTGTATTATTTAAAAAGTGTCTTAGTATTTTGGTAATACATTAAAAAAGTATCGTTTTAATCGATTCTGTATTTTAGATAATAAATATCTACCTAATATTTTACTTTGGAAAATATTTGTACTTGATAAACCATATTTTTTAAAACTTTTAATAGTGCTTAAATATTTACTGTTATTACTTAATTGATATTTCTCATGTTTCATAATACAATCTTATAGTAAGATGTATAAAAAAAAAGTGTAAGATTTAATTATTAAAAGATGTAAAAATGTAAACGGTATTTTATTTTTTTGTAATTCTTAGCATATTTACCAGTGGTGTAGATAATAATTTGTTGTACCTAATTATACCTTTATCCTTTATATTGATCAATGGATATATTTATGCCTGTACCTATACCTGTAATTATCTACTAATCTGTAGTTTTAGCTAGTTTTGTGTATATTTTTAGCTAGTATTTTGTGTATGTGTATGTTTATAAACATATTGCATATTCATAAATTGTAAAATTTAGCATGTTATGAATTTCGCATGAATTTTCTTTAATTGTATATAATCTTTGTTATGTTTGGAGTTATAAAATATCATTTATATATTGCAAGTGGAAATTATTATTACTGCTTAACTGTTAAAGATATTGGTAGATTGTTTATTGGATATTAATATATTTTAAAGTATCTAAATTTATAAGATTTAACTAAATTACATTTAAAATATTTTATAAGTATAACTTTATGATATTAATTAACTTTTAAGATTAAGGATTAATAATTCATCAGATGTACCAAATGGGTGATTTCTAGAAACATTTTGGTTTATAGTTAGTTAAGAAGTAATACAATCAATACATTATATCTAAATAATAATCTATGAAGTTTCAGTATTATTACTCATTGAAGATAGATTGTATATATATTGCAAAATCAATAGTTTGAATGAATATGAAAATTACCAAAAAATTAATTTTAAGATGTTAGTAACATTAGTAGGTACTAGTAGTAGGTAGTGAAAAATATTTTAAATCTTAGATGCAATATATTTACCTATTTTCCTTGATTAAAAAACACGTTATTTCTAGTATTATGTAAAGTGAAATAATTTTCAGAAAATGTTTACTTACCTACCTACTTATTTCTATATATTTGTTTCCTAATTATTACAATATTTTTACTCAGCTGATGAGAAATAATAGTTAATACATAACAGCTGGCGTGTACACAAGGGGGGTTTAGGGATTCAAACCTCTTTCGAAATTCAGGAAAATTATATCAAATATGTTTTTACATAGTAAAATTGGTGTATAGATTATATTATTATGAAAATGTACAACTTAAAACCCCTCACAAAATATTTTTTTGTGTACGCACCTGCATAACAACTTATAGGTACCTAAGTATTAACAATTATACTCTAGTTTTATTTTATTTTTTAAATATTGAGGAATCCTTAGCAATACTAAGTTTGGTACAAATGTATTAATTATATAAATAATTATATGATAAATTATTTATTAACAAAATAATATCGGCTTAACATAATGTTAAGATTGTGAATTGTTCTTTAAATACTCCTAATTTTATCAATCAGTAAGTAAAAATTAATATTAATTTTATTTTCATAGAACATATTTTACTAGAAATTGTATTAATACTATGAATAAAAATTGTTAGGCTTGCTTTTATTTATTTTTTACCAGTGAAAATCACCAAATGCGATACATTGACCATGGATAAATGCCCGATAACCAATGGCAAATTTGACAGGATGAACTTGGCCAATGAAATGGGTAACACAGGAGTGGAAAATTGGCTGGAAAAAACTTCGAAATACCACAGTTTAGAAATGGCTGATGATGAATAAATTATAATTTGGTTATTTGTTGTTTTCATTTTATTGTTAATAAAACAATTAGCTTCAAAAATAAAATATTCATATATATATATTTTTAATGCAGTTTTATTTAATTTAACAGTTTTAAACTTAGCTATGTTTCCTGTTTCTGTTTAAAAATTTATAGTAGACATTTACCGAAACAATAATATTTCGGTTCATACTTTTAGCTCTATAGTGGTTGTATTTGAAAAGTCAATTTAAAAAATTATAGCAGCCTGTAAATATTAAGTGGTTGTTCAGCGTAATATTCATTTATCACTGTCAGATATTTGATATTTTAAATTGATTTCGTACATTTTGAAAGTAATAGAAAACTTAAAAAAAAAAAAACAAAAACAATAAATAAAAACGTAAAGAACACTTAATAATTTTATTTTGATTTTTCAGAGGGAGATAGTTACTAGTAGAAATATTTATATATACATTGTACATATATTTATATACATAGTATTATTATTATGGAAACTACTGTCGAGTGCGACATTAACCATTACTTATCTACACAAGATTATATTTATAATATGTATAAGTATTCGATGATGTAATTTCTGCTAAGCTAATAAATCTGTGGTATACCTAAGTCATTTTGACATTTTTTCGCGTGGTTTCACGGTGGATGCGCAAAAATGTCGTCGAGCATACCCGCTATTACATTATTTTCGTGTCGAGACGCGCGCCATCTTGCGGATGTTGAAAACGCGGAAACGGGACAACCGGTGGCGAGCCGGAAGAACCATAGGTTTATACGATAGCTATAGTCAGATCGGATAGCCGATCTCGTACGGGTACACCATGTTACGATGTCCAGCGTCGCACCTGGTCAACGTTTACACATTTTTATTATTCCTACGTTTTCGTAATGTCGAATAGATATAGATTCACATCGTTGGTGAACGCATGGGTGTAACACGAACAATACTATTGCTGCGGTAACACCAGTAGTAGTGCTGTTGCTCGTTCGTGCTCGGCTATTGGCATCGCCGTTGGTACGAACACCGTCTGGATTTTTCGTGAAAATTTTCGACCGCTATCGTGTGCACTGTGATAAGAAATTCGTTGAGTCGTCGGCCCTCCTTCGCCCATCCCAATCGGTACGGTTCGGAGGCACTAGATGGCCGTGACATCACCACCCATCAGGCGATGCGCGTCGGTGCGACCTTAACGTGCGCGGGGTGGTGGTGTTGGGGGGGGGGGGCACCTGCGGGAAAATCGATTCGATTGGATAACGTTCGCGCAGCCCGCGGTAGTAGCTGCTAGTCCTATCGTTAAATAACAATACGTGCGGTGCGATTTTACCAGTAGAAAAAAAAATTTGACTTTTTCCCTCGCTAAAAATGGTCTTAGAACCGTGATTCGGTTCGCCGGTTTTCACGTTGGTTTTAGTTTTACGAAGTGAAGAGTGCACGGAGTATTCGTCCGTTTGCGCTATGACGAGAGCGGATCGAAGATCATCACAGCAACGAGCTCCGCGACGTAACGAGTAAGTGATTACAGGTTAATATTGCCCTGTGTAGTGCGGGGTTAACTTAAAAAATGTTCTTTGCTCATCCATTTATTTTCGTTAATTTACTCGTATTCCAATGTAGTTGTGTATCAGTATTGCATAATCGTCGCGCCGCGTTACAATAAACGATGTTTATCGCACCGGTGCATCGTGCTACCAAGGTTTATAGATCACAATCTATAAACAATAAATAAACCTTGTCGTGCTACTACCTCAAATCGAGATTACAAGTTACAATTATACAATAATAAAAATGTTGCACTTGAAAACTGTTTTATCATTTATGTTGTTACGGTACGTCAATATTTTGCTGCAAAAACGATTTGATAACAATATACAAATCGAATGGTTTTATTTCGTTCTTATCACACAAAGGTAGTATGGAGTTTAGTTTTTGTTTAAATTTGACATTAATTTTTTACCTTTACATTTGTTATTTCTTTTATAACTTGTAACCTGTAATATTTTACTCGATAATTGAATTTAATAACTAATGAAGTGTTGATTTTTAATTTTACAATTTCCAAAAAAAAGTAAAATAAATGAATGTGAGGTGGGTAGTTTACAAGTTTACAACCTTTAGACTTTGAAGAGTAAGAAAATAATTTCGTAAAATAATGATACCAATAATATAGTATGTATGTATGTAGTATATTATTATATTCCGTAGATCTTGAAAACTGCAGTGTTTTTTAGTAAACGGGGAAACCTTTGTTTTTCAAATAATTTTTCCGTAGCCAGTTAATATTCATGAAGATTTATATTTTAGTTTAAGAAAAGAGTCGTGAAAAATTTTGACCTTTGTGTTGTAACTTTGTTCTAATATATTACGTTCGTGTAAGACTATTCACACACACACACGCATATATATATATATATATATATATCTAATATAATATAAAGTATAGTTATAATACTACCTTGCGTGTATATTTGTAATTGATAGAGTAGACATGCATGTTATTTAGGTATAAATAGTTAAGATTTAAAACTAATTTAGAAATATTATAATTTATGCATAATATGCCTCAAAAAGATTAAAAAAATAGTATTTATTTATTATTTTGCTAAAATAATATTATTATTTATTATTTATTCATGTAGAACATTTATAAATAAATACAAATAGTTTCGTTATGATTTAATTAATATTCTGAAGTTTGAAGTGTATTTGTCAAAATAATCATAAATAAACTGTTGGTTTTTATTGATAGCATAGAATAATTCTATATTGTAATTATTATAAATGGTAGTAATATTCATGATTTATTTATAAATATTTATTTGGTATAAAATAAATAATACATTACATTGCATAATATATAATCCATTTATATATAAATCGTTGCTACGTTTCATAAAATGGAAATGATTTTTTCTTACTTCGTGAAATATGAAAATATATACTTCACTTTAACTTCGTGTACTTTTTTTTTACAATGCGTTCATTCCTTCATGTATCACACAAGTTAGTTTATACTTATTTTTGTCTACTTATCTATTAACTTTTATTAGCGACTATTACATAGTGGAATTATATTAATACAATTATCTGACTGTCTGAAATGTATAGATTTTGTTAGTTTTGATATAATGTTATATTAGTATTAGGCTAATACCCTAATATTCTATACTCAAGTATATAGTTGCTGCATGGATCACATTATACTGTTAATTCACATATTTTAACTAAATTAAAACTTCTTAACCTAAAATAATTCTAAGTTCACATGCAGACACTTAATGATAACTCATTTTATTTTGATAACTTACCTATTGTGCACACAATGCAAACATTTACTAAAATAAAATATACTTAACAAATAAATGCGATAATACAATAAAAAACAATAATTAAAATTGACAATGCGATGTGTTCGCTGCTATACTACGAATAATTTTAACATGGGTGCTGAGCCTTTTGATTATATAACATATACATTTAAAAAAAAGATAAACATAGAATAATTAAGAAATATTTATAATATTATTGTGAGCGTATGCGTGTGTGTGTGTATGTGTCCAATGTCAGGCAGCTGTGGCATGTATATTTTTACCTGTTATAATTTTACAAATCTCTTATTACTTATATATTTTTATTATTATGATATTTTGTTTTAATTAGTCCTTGATAAAAGGGACGAGGTTGACAGTGATTGTTGGTATTATTGTAATTCTAAAGCTTATAAGTTTTTATCAGAAGCTCTAATAAAAAATAAAAAATATACTAGTATACAATAAAATAGTAAGTTAAAGAATTGTAGTATCATAGTATACATTTATACAATATTGTATATAAATGGAATTAACGAATAATTTTGTAACTTAAGATTTATTATTCAATTTTGAATAAAAAAAAATATTTTTTATAGTATCATTGATTACCCCAAAATTACGATAAAATAATATTATTATACCAATTCTTTGCACGTAGGTATAAAAATTAGTTTGATAGTTTTAAAAACGACAGTCAACTTTAAAACGAAATAAAATATTTATATTATTTTATTCAAATAATTCTGAGAGTATGATACGTAAAAGAATAATGAACGGATAACATGTTTTAAAGTTTTCGGGTTATAATAAAAATAAATTATGGTTCGTGATCGTTTTTCATTTAATATTTAGGTTATTAATTGTATTATATTATGATGGCTGATCCAAGGCAAGGCATTGTAAGTAAGTCAGTTACTTTATTCCCGGTTATGGTTTTTCCGCCGTTACAAAACCATCCTGATCGAAAGCATATGCACTAAACGGCACGGGATACTTGACACGCTCATACTCCGATTTATATTCTATTACACTCAGAATTGTAAGAAATCCTAAAACGTACGTTATACCATTTATAACTATGCATTATCTACGGGGAAATAGTTATAGTTTTTTCCAAACATTATCATAACATTTGAAATGCATTATAAAGTATGTTTATAAATATAATCATTAAAAAAATAATATTTTTCTATATTTTTCATTTCACTGTTGCCATAGTTAAATCAGCTAATAGTTTTTGTTAAATGATATTAAAATGTTGGATATTTATTAGTTGTCTTTGTGTATCGATGAAGTTTAACGTTGAAATAAATGTAATTTGAAATCCAGTGATGACGCATGTTAAGAAAGTTAAAAACGAACTTACAGTTCCGTTGAAGCGACGGGATAATTTGATTTCTTCCGATTATACTGATGTTCCAGTGTTTATGCCATCTTACCAAAAAAATTGTGAAAAGACGAACATGTTTTACTTAATGTCTATGGAATATCAACAAATTTGGACCAAGGAGAAGGATGAATACTTGAAATCGCGAGCTTTTAACGCAAAAAAAGTGAAAAAAGTGAAAAAGATTAGAGTACCCACTGTCCAACAAGAAACTGTACGGGAAAAAATAACAGAAAAACCTCCATTAAAAAATACAACCAAGTATGATCATATCCAGTCCAAGTATAAAATAAGAAATCAACCAGTGTGTGAAAATAAAAAATAATTAACTCTGAATGTTAACGAAAACTCGTGATTAGTTATAATAAAATGTTATTGTTAATGTTAATTTTTCTGTTAATTTCCAAAACTATTTTTTCTTAAGTCGACATGGTGAATTTCTAGGATATGATTTTGATGTATGCTGAGGGATTGAAGGTTTTATTATTTAAATATTTTTATGAGTTATGCCTAACAAAAAATTGTGTGATTAAAGTATTGAACTTCATAAAGAAAACATTTCAAATATAAAACCATAGATATATTTTACAATTGTAAAGTTATTATAAATTGCTTATATATTTATATGATTTTCTCATGACTTTACTATTTTTACACCTACTATGGGGCGCTTATTCACTATTGAAATTCAAGGAACTAGAAAAGGTATTGCTTATTTCCGTCTACATTTACATCATTTATTAAAAAATTCGTGCTGCCACTGATTTAATTGGTGACTATAATAAATAAATAATATTGTATAATATACAGAATTATTAATGTTAACTTTTACACCAATAAGACATATTTTAAGTCTTTTAAACAATACAGGCCTCTTTATCACTTATCGTACTACATTGACGAACCAACTCTAAAACACACTATAAAACTGTGAACACACTCCGTATAGAAAGACAGACAGCTATTGATATGACCGGCTCGTCGTCGTATAACAGTTTATAACAGGCCGTCTTGATGATGTCCCTGTTGTCCTCAATAGTTACATATACTTGAGCATATCAGTTATATAATTTTGTAACTTAGTTAATACTCAGAATTTAATCTAAGATAGCAGACGATTCGGAAATGCCTGAAGGTTTGAAAGAAGAAGCTCGAGAACAGTTAGAACAATCCAATTTGAAGTCCAAGACTGAATTTGACAAACACCATCATGATAACATCAAGTACACTGTTGAGGAGATTGTGGTCTTGAAGCAATGTCCTACGTCCACAGAGGAATCAACCGAGTTGTAGGATCATTATCGAGGTCGTTTGGTTGTCTCTGAGGTATTGGTGATTTTTATCGTGTGGTTGAGTTAAATGAAAAACAGACGTTTTGTGACTAAGGTCCATGCGATGCATTTGAAATCATAGAATAAACAGGGAAGGTGATGAATATAGTGGAGGTGCTGACTACGTACGATGTAGTACGATAAGTGATAATGAGATTTGTGCTTTTGCAAGGTTCTTTTTATTGAAGAGAGATTGTTTGTTATTGAATTTAATAAAAACTTTTTTTAAAGTTTCAAAAATTGTTTAAAAATTATTTTATTGTATAGAAGTTAACAGAATATTCCAATTGTTTAAAATGCTCAATAATTTAATACTGTACTCAATTAATACCTCGATAAGTATTTAGTTGTATACAAAGTCTTTAAGGCTATTGTATCGTAAATTTTCAATGAATACTCAGTTTACTCTTTTCAAAGTAAATATAAAAATAAAATATTCGAGGATTTCAATTTTTAATAGTAGGTAACTCCGCCATATTCTT